GTACTTCCCCACAGGCAAGCCACAAATCTTTTATTGAAGTGTTAAGGTATGCTTTTAACCAAAATCCAGCAGAATTCTAAGGTGATTATTATTACCCATATTACATATACAAGTTTAAATATACTGTTCCACAAATCAATTTAACAGGGATTGTGAATCTTGCTTCCAAAATTAGTGCCATGCCAGGAATAATTATATAGCATTCCGTATATATTTATTTTGTGCAGGAAATTCAATAAAACTTGATTAAAATAGACTGTGCATACAATTAAATTTGCATTCCCTTTAAGTTTAAAATTCCATGAGAATAGTATTTTCTATTAATTTTATCATTAATGAAACAATTACATTTTATTACTTAGTTTTTCCATTTACAGAGTTTCAAATACAGTATTCTAGACATCTTAGCTGTTTGGCTATCTTGAAAAGTGTCATTTTCTTGGCCCTATGACCTCCTCTCCTGATTCTTCCCAGTACTATAATGCTTCCTTTTAGGTCCTCTCTGCCCATCATTACCTATGGCATCCCCAGGGTTCTATTCTTGAAACTATTCACTCCATCATGGCCACCATTCATTTGTGTGTTATTCACTACTACCATTCCATCTAGTTATTACCATTTTTAAAAATCTACAACACTGCTGTTGGTCCTGAGTTCTGGATATTTCGAACAGCCTGCTAGACATATGAATATGCTTGGATGTAACCCCTTCAAACTCAACAACTGGTCTCTCAGTATAGTTTCCATCTCCTCCCCTTGGCCCTCTCCTCCCCTGAGCATCAACCTGGTGGTTGTTTCTCCAGGAGGCCCACTGCTGCCTCAGCACCTACATTTATTTGATCTTCAGTAATCTGTTTAGTGCTTTCCCCTAGAAATCTGACAACTCATTCAGAACATGTTTACAGAGGCTTTAACTAGCAGTCTACAATAGCAGTTCCCCCAACTCCTTTCCTTTTCCTGCACTAAACTTGTAACCAGACAAGTCTTTATCATCCACCTTCCCCATCAGAATAAAAACATTTGACAAAGGCAGAGTTGGTCTTATTTAATCTTCTACCAAGCTGGTGATCAACAAAGTTTTGCTAAACAACTTAATTTTTTTTAAATATTTATTTATTTGTGCATACAGAACTGGGGTACAGGCCAGAGGTACAGGGGTGGTGAGAGGCTTCACCAGAGACAGAGTGGGGAGCAGAACAGGCAGATCTATGAAGTACACTGCTGAGGGGAGCAGCGGGCGGGTCAGGAGAGGTCTGCCTCACCATGTGGATCTCCTCTGGGGCAGGCGGGAATCAAACTCATGCGGAAGCGGCTTTAGATTCTCAGTGCTGTGCTTTAACCCGCTGCACCACCAGGGAGGGCCAAAAATGACTTAATTTTAAATCTTTATTCCCACCCTAGACTGCTCCTCCTTCTGAATTCTGGCTTCCTCATTGCATATTCATCTAGTCAATGAATCACTTACCTCAGAAACATACAGACTTCATAGGTTCTAACACCTGAGGAAATGTTTGACAGTATCCCAGGAATCAGGGCTGGAGTAAGATACACATGGAGGTCTGCCCCTTTTCCCTCTGTCCTGGACGCACTGTGCCCTTCTAGGAAGACACCACATCCATGTACGTGGTTATCCAACCATGCTCTGTTCACTCCCCCAAAACTAAGACCCAGGGGTTATTCAGATGCAGTGTGGTTTGTCCTCAAGGGAACAACCCTAGGGAAAAGGTTTGGAGGTGGAGCGTGGGGCAAAGAACTCCAAGGTTCCAGGTACTTGGCATTTGTGTTCTAGAAGGGGAGGGAGAGGCATGAGTTCTGGATGGTCATTTACCCTTGATCTCATGGGCAGAGCTGTGCAAGTAACTGAAGTGCAGTTCAAAGTCCTCTAAAGATCAGGGCTCAGGGAGAAGCCCCACCACCTTGGTCTAAAGGCAGTGTAACCTGCCACTTCAGAAGAGTGGATGTAACCAAACAAGAGTGAAATCCAGAAGTATGCTTCTTCCCTCCCTTGTCTAAAAACCAAAGATTTAAATTTTTTGATAGCTCAAGAGCTATCAATGTGGAAACTTAGAAAAGGAGCCCTTGGGTGAAAAATAAATCCTATCTAAAAATTGAATTTCATAAAAATTAAAAATTTTGATTTTATAAAAAGCATTATTTTGTGGGTCTCCCTGGTTGTGCAAGGAATTGTCTCAGCACTATGAAGCTACCAGTAGCCACTGCAGCAAGAGTTAAATCCCCGGCCAGGAAGCTGACCCACATGACCTCCTGTCTCACCCGCTGCTCCCCTCAACAGTATATTTCAGTCAATGTGTCTCTAACAAATCCTCTCACACATAAGCCCCATACCTCTGGCCTGTACCCAGATCTTGGATGCATAAATAAATAAATCTTTGAAAAAGACATTCTGAGGATGAGTAGACAAGGCAAAAACTGGGAGAAATATTTGCAAGCGCTCTATCTGATCAAGGACTTGGATCCAAAATATATAAAGAATTCTAAAGACTCAAAAACAAGCATTCTGAAACTTTCATTGGAATCTCAGAATATTAATGACCATTGGTTTATAAGCTTGACTTGGAAAATTCAGAGATTTATCAAATGACAAAAACCTAAAGAAGGGACCTTAGAATCTTGGCCAGTTTCACTGTATTGAGACTACCTTCCAGCATCTCTAAAGTTGCCATAGTAAGAGTCTGTAACCCAAAGAACCCTCCAACGATGACAGTGATTCATCAAGCTCAGGAGTGGTTGGGGGAACACATCTTTACCCCAGATATATCTGGGAGAGAGGGTGGTGAAAGAGTTGGATCATGTCACCTCTGAAGCCTTCTTCCTATTTAATATGGTTCTACCATGTACAAAATGTCAGACTGTCTGCAGTACTTTCATGTATAGCTTGTGTGGTGAAGTTGTTAGCTGTGCTGAAGGGAAAGAAGTATATGCATTTTCTCTACTCACCTAAGAAATATTTGCTGTCAATGTTGGCGAGGATGTGGAGAAAAAGAAACTCTCCTGCACTGCTGGTGGGGACGCAAACTAGTACAACCATATGAAAAACTGTCTGGAGGTTCCTCAAACTGCTAAACATGGAGCTTCCCTACAACCCAGCAATCCCACTCCTAGGTATCTAACCAAAAGACACAAAAACACTGATTCAAAAAGATACCTGCACCCCCATCTTTATTGCTGCCTTATTCACAATCAGAAAGACATGAAACAGCCCAAATGCTCAAAAGTGGATGACTGGATTAAAAAGATGTGGTACATATATACAATGGAATATTACTCAGCAACCAACCAACCAACCAACCAAACACATGTCCTTTGCAGCAACATGGATGGAGCTGGAAAAGATCATGCTTAGTGAAATAAGCCAGAAAGAAAAGGAAAAATACCAGATGGTTTCTCTCATAGCAGGAATATAACAGAACAGGCAAGAAAATGATAATGATGAACAGCTATATACCAGAGACATTTTGTGGGGGTGGAGCGGGGAATGGGATCAAAAACAATGGGGGGAGGGAAATGCACTAGACTATGGTGAGAGCACATGGGTGATTTGGTGATGGGAAACCCAAGGGGATTGCAATTAAGATGGGAAAATGCACAAAAATATGTAAAAATAAATTATTATATATAAAATTATATATTTGCTGTCTTCTTAAGTCAAACATTTGCTAGGGGCTGAGGATATACAGTCATGAACAAGACACAGGACTTACTCAAGGATAGCAAAGTCTAATGGAGGATATGAACACAAAATAGGTTATTACGAAACTGGGATGAAGTCTTTTTGATTTGGACAAACCCAGGGAACAATGAAAACACATACCTAATCGTCTTGTGGGACCAGAAAAGGGTCCCTAGAACAAGTCAGGCAAGAGAGCTGATAGTTGGCTAGAAGATTGGAGAGAAAGAGATACATCGGGAATGTTGCCAAGTTGCAAGGAAAATGCAGAGAACCCAAGCAGAAGGTAACAGAGGACAGATCATGAATGACCGCCTCATAAATTACACTGAAAAAATTTCACTAATGCTGGCAAGGGGAAGCACAAAAAGTTTTATAGAGTAGCATGAAGGGATTTGTCATTCAGAAAGGTCATTCTCACTGCAGAATGGTAAGGACAAAATAGTGTTGAATACGGAAGAAACTCATTAGGAAGTTGTTTCAATAATCTAGACAATGGCCTAGTAATGGTCCATCATCTCATTTAAACTTTGCAACACTATGAGGGCGTATAACCGACCCATTTTTCTAATGGGAAATCCAAGGAAGAGAAAGCTAAGTGACCTGCATAAATAATTTTTTTTTTAATCTTGAGAAAGATTTAGAGGGTTGTATGGTCATGACTGGATGACTCTTTGCTAATACTTATTACTGATTTGGGGGTGGTGGCTAAAGGAGCAGGAATTACCAAGTTTGTAAGTTTCTAACTTGGCTAACTAGGCAATGATTAAGTTAGTAAATATAAAAGCAGGTGGCAGTTGGTGGAAGAAAGTGGTGAGTTCAGTTTGAAGTCTGGCTTGCAGGTGCCTAAATAGCTTCTGAGTGAAGAGGTCCACAGGGAGCTGCAGGGGTTGGTTGTGTGAAACACAAGTGAGATTTGATGTCATTAGTCTCAATTTCTCTTTCTCTCAGAAGGAAAAACAAAGCCATCTTTGGAGAAGCTGAAATGATACAAACTGACCATGAGCATTTAGGAAAACAGAATATTAACCATACCATTTTAGGTCATCTTACGGTAAGATTCTTCTATTAATTTTACCTCTAAATTGCTTTTTACTAGCAACCGTTTTTTTGTAATTAAAAAAATAGATTTATTTATGCAGACAAGAACTGGGGTGTGGGCCAGAGGTATGGGGGCAGGGAGAGTATTTGCCAGAGACAGTGTGGGGTCTAGAACAGCCAGATCTACTGAAATACACTGTTGAAGGGAGCAGTGGGCATGACAGGAGAGGTCTGCTGTGAATGAGGTTTGGCTCAGGGATTGAACTCACACCACAGTGACTGGCAATAGCTTGATAGTGCTGAGATCAAGCCCCTGCCCCACCAGGGAGGCCCCACACTGTGGGTCAGCAGGGACCAAGTCTGCTACTTCACTGCAAGGGTGGGTGTCTAACCAATACTTCAGTCTATTACTCTGAGGGTATAGGCACTCCTTTTCAAGAAACACTAACTTTTGAAACACTTATTAAATGGAGTCATTTAACAAGTTACCATTTCTGTACATTCAGTGGGATCCTAATGGCACCCCTAAGCTGCTAGCCTCTTAACAGTTCACACCATTCCATAACAATGATAGTGAGTTTTAATACGTCAAATACCCTTTGAGGGGAGGCTCTTAGCTACCTTTCTCCAGATGAACTGACATCTTCCTTTAACTTTCCTTGAAGAGATAGGAAATGCGGAACACGTAGAGAGAGCTTTGACAAGTGTTTTGATAAGCCCTTTTTCTTTCCATATCTTGGCTAAAAGGGTTCTCACATTTTTCTTTTATGTTATTTTTTTTTTTCTTAGTTTAAAGCACTACCACTCCCTACCTCTGCCTAGACTGGCCCTCCTTAAAAAAAAAGATTCATCAGAGAATATTACTTGTACGTAATTTGAGAATTGTGGCCCCACCCTAGTAAGACATAACCACTTCCTCAGGCAGACTGTGTAGCTATGCCATGAATAGAGAACCTCTGACATTTCTAGGGGTCCGTCTGTTCTGGGGTCCATACTAATTCAGTAGAAACTGTTTTAATATTCTTAACAGATACACCAAAATATCTCCTTAAATAAACAGTCTCCTCTCATTTTCCCTTTTGGACTTTTTTTCTCTAAAGCTAATGAGTCATCCATACCAAGTAGTTCCATGTCTTTCACACAAGCAAACAAACTAACTTAGAAAACTTCATAGAAAACCGTACAACTGTTCGCATCTTCACAAAGCATGACAATAACCATAGAGATCACTAATGTGTGAAGACACTGTACACCCAAATCTCTACAAGAATATCTGGACAAATATATCAGTGTAAAGATAACTATGCCCAATACAAAGCCATTTTATGTACTGGTGCTGGATTACTAAAACAATTCTCAGTTTTCTGATTTTAAAAATTATACTTTTAATTGTAGAATAGTTAGAATACAGATTAGACAGACACTAGGAAAACTGGCCAATATCATAAGGAAAACTGGTACTTACTTGTTCACTCACTCTCCACAACCATAGAAAACAGGCACAGTGTTAGGGTATGTGCAGAAGCAGCCAGACTTGGGAGCAGAAGGCATGCAGAAAGCATTAGCAAAAAAGAGTCCAATGTACAATTTTCTACACAAAGTTCAATACAGCAAATGGGCAGCAACTGGCAGAAAGAGAGGCCATAGAGCGGTCTAGCCCCTGCCCTTTTCACTTCCCAGCTGGAGTGTACATGTATGGAGGAGGACTGGTGGATTTAGAAGTCAGAGTCAGCAGCAGAAATGGATGGGGTGGGGCAGCAGTGTAGGGAAAGAAAGACATCAGCGTACAATTAGGTCATAGAGATGCTGTCTTCTATGGTCACTCCAAGGCTGATGCCTCAAGTGACACAAAAACAGCACTTTGATATTCACTAGAACCATCAGCAACACTGATGTGGGAAAATACATGATTGAATTTAGTCTTCAAGAACATGTAAGTCATTCAATAATTAAAATATGATTACCTAGTTTGATGGATTTTATATAGAACTAAAAACATGCTCCCTGCCCGAGTTTGTATTTAAGTAGGAGTGACAACATAAAGAAACCTCGTTGGTGCAGTGGGTTTTCTTTGTTACTTTTAAGATTACGTCATTTGCAAGGGATGAGGTTCCACACATTGGTGGGTCATGTTAACTCTTTGTAATACACTACTCAAGGGAGATCACTAGTTCCTTTAGTACCAAGTTCCAAAGAGCTACAGCAAAAGTGTTTTTTAAATGTTACAACATTCACAATAAAGCACAGTAGAAATAACTTGAGGCACTCTTAAAAATATATATATGTGTATATATATATTCCTATTCCAGTCCCATCTTCTGGGTATCCATGCCCCACGCCTCCCAAATGCTTAGAAAAATATCAACATTTGAACACTTGGGATATTTCTCAATTCCTATCTAGACTGAGATAAAGAAAACTGACACTACTGGGCTTAAACTGGTTGACTCTTATTTTAGCCACTTGTATCTGTAGGCTGGGAGGATGGAAATACATTCCTATCTAGATTTAGTAATTTCTTGTAACTAGGCCAAAGAGAAGATAATTCAGCTGGAAAACAGGACAATCAACCTATTTGTCCAGTCACTATCTCCCACAATTGATTGATACACATAAAGAAGTGTTTAGTTCTGTACAAAGACAGAGCTTACAGAAGAGTGCAAACTGGAGCACTAGTGTTTAAATTTTTTACATTTAAAGAATGAAAAAAAGGACATTTCTCCCACTGGAGTCTGTAGTTCGGACACATGATCAACATCACCCAAGAACATGCTAACTCTGTGTGAATTCAGTTTCTTCTATTGGAAAAACCATAGGAATACACATTTTACTGTACATACACATGCTCTTATGCAAGCTAAGATAAACACTGGGATGTGGCCCTTATCAAATCCTACAGTTAGTAGTATAGGGAGAACTGATCTAAAAGGGTAGAGCTGAAAGAAAACAGAAATTTGTATTTCTTGAGAAGGAACTCTGTGCTTCCTTCCCAAAGTGGTCAATTCCACTTACTCCTTACACTCCATCTCTTATGGTCCTACCTTTGAAGATATTTTCCCTATAGTGATTGCCAAAGAAAATCAATAAATTCTGATGAATGGCAAAACTACAGTGGGTATCTCTTGCTAGTCACCACTGTCAAAGAGTCCTTGGTCCCCAAACCTGTGTCTCATTTTTCCTTTCAATCTGTATCTTCAGATAACTTTCACAAAGATGCAAGCTTTAAAAAATTAAATTAGAAACAATAAGAAGAAAAGTTATGATCATTGCCTTCATTGCGTAGTCTCTGCTCTTAGGAAGATGGCAGGATAAAAATGCATGAGCAACTCAAGACAAAGCCCTTTGAAGGGGAAGATGTGTGTGCCCAGCTATGGTGACAATTCAGGCAAAGTCTCTGGTTGTCTTTTTCCAAAGCAGCTGTTAACACCCTATTACAGTCTAACATTTTCCCTAGCATAGTTGTTTGGGCCAAGGATGGGAGAAAACAACTTCTAAAGATTTATTCCATTTCCAGGCCTGAGCATTTACCAGCATTTATCCCTTGGTCTTCAGATTTCCAGTTACTAATGGGACTGATTCTGATAAAGTAGTTAATTAGTATTGAGTGAATAAAAATCACTACTGTGGAGATGGGGATAACATTCCCAAAGCTGTGGGTTAGAATTTCAAATGGCTAGTCTTTGATGTTTTAAAGTGTGGCCCACAACAAGGAAATGCAGTACAGTAAAAGCAGCTCAGTCTTGAAAGAGCTCTTTGATAGCAAAGAAAATGGTACCTTAAATGAAACATTTTTCAGTCATCATTATAGGACTTAGTCGGTATGAACTCTCTTGTGTTTAATAAGAGCTGAGCTCCGGCTGAAACTCTTCTGGCATTCAGTACATTCGTAAGGTTTCTCTCCTGTATGAACTCTTTGATGTGTGATGAGGTTGGAGCTCTGGGTGAAACCTTTCCCACACTGCACACACTCATAGGGCTTCTCACCAGTGTGGGTTCTCTGGTGCTTAATTAGATCTGACCTTTCACCAAAGCTTCGCCAACACTCATTGCACTCATAGGGCTTCTCTCCAGTGTGAATTTTCTGGTGCGTGATGAGATGAGAACTCCGACTGAAGCTTTTCCCGCATGCATTACATTCATAAGGCTTTTCCCCAGTGTGGGTTCTCTGATGCTGAACCAAGTGTGAGATGCGGCTGAAATTCTCCCCACATTCATTACAATGGTAAGGTTTTTCTCCTGTGTGGGCTCTGCGATGGCGCACAAGATCAGAGTTCTGGCTGAAATTCTTCCCACACTCATCACACTTGTAGGGCCTCTCCCCAGTATGGACTCGATAGTGTTTGATGAGGTCAGACCTCTCACTGAAGCCTCGCCCACATTCGTTACACTCATAAGGTTTCTCACCTGTGTGGGTCCTCTGGTGCTGAGCTAGATGAGAGCTCCGGCTGAAGCTTTTCCCACACTCCTCACATTCATATGGTTTTTCCCCACTGTGGGTCCTTTGGTGCTGAATTAGATGAGAGAGCCGGCAGAAACTTTTCCCACACTCATTACATTTGTGAGGCTTTTCTCCAGTGTGGATTGTCTGGTGCTGAATGAGGTGGGAGCTTCTTCCAAAACTTTTCCCACACTCATTACAGTCATAGGGTCTCTCCCCAGTGTGTGTTCTTTGATGCTGAATAAGGTGTGAGCTCCGACTAAAGCCCTTTCCACATTCATAACACTTATAGGGTCTGTCTCCAGTGTGGGTTTTCTGATGTCGATTAAGGTCTGAGATCTGACTGAAGGCTTTTCCACAGTGAGAACATATATGATATTGGATACCTGTGTGGACTTCTTTGTGGACAAGCAGATCAGTGACTTGTTGCAGAGGATAGCTTACCCACTCTTCTGCTGTTAAATCTCCCCACTGTCTTTCTGATCTATCCCTGCCTTCAAAGGTGTCTTCACTTTCAGGATTTTCCTCTCTAGTACTCCCAGCAGGTCTTTCGGATGCAGTCCCAAATTCTACATCTTCACTAATCTCTTGCTTTGGATTCACCTCATTCTCACTCCTGATTTCAAAATCTGTAATAAAAAGGTAAATAATGACAATAATACTTTAAACAACACACGAAATTACCTACTACATGACATGAGCTTTGCTCAGTTCTTTATGTGAATTACCTTAACCACCTGAGTTAGGCATTAAGGTGATTTTCATTTTATGAATGAGAAATCCAAGACCCAGGGAAGTGGAGTAGTTTGTAAAAAGTCACACAGCAATAAATGATGAGGCAGGGATTCAAATCCATATCTGCATGGTAAGAGTTCATGCTCTGTAACACTACAGTTAGTGGTTCTTTAGGAATATTGTATATATTCCTGGTGTTTCAAGAAAACAACCAGAAACAAAATATAAGAGCTTTTTAAATTTGAACCTCAAAAAAACAAATGTCTAGATATTGTGTGTGAATATGTATACATGTATGTTTTTTAACTCATTAAGCCTTTGTCTTTATCATATGATATTTACTAAGAACCTACTAAATCAGCATGGAAATTAAAAAATTAATTTTTTATCCACCTGTATCAAAAGTTGGCTGTCAGGAAAAATGACTGCCAAATGTTACTTGCTACCGTCCAGTGGCATTTTAATGAAAATAGGAGTGAAAATGTTTGACTCAAGAGTATTCTTGGCATAGACCAACTATAGTCTCCAAATGAAAATCAGAATAATACAATCACAGTCTACAAGAAAATTTTCAACAGACATGGCTTTTCCAAGTTTCTCAGTACACTCTTCAGAAAGATGTTATTAAGTATACTGGAAGCAAAGCTAAATTAGTCTGGTAAACAGTACATACAACATGCTCTTATTAAAGCTCCCCGATACCTGACAACACATTTAAACTTTTAAAGTTTGGAAGCTTTGTAAACGTTATTTAAGGCACTCTCTTAATGATAATAATAGCCACTACTATTATATATAATATGTAACTATTAGTGTTGCTATTATATTAGTGTTTCCATACTTCCATCCTTCTAACAATTGTTCATTGGGCTAGACCACAGAAATATAAGTTTATATATTTTAAAGATTCTTCTATCTTGTTTTTGTTCTTGCTCTGAATGAATTATCTTTGTTACAGACTGCAGATGTGGATAGATAACTTCATTTCTAGTTATTTTTCTAAAAGAAGGATCCAAGAAACTTAGGAAGTCAGGGAGAGCACAAGTTAAAGACAAAATCCTCAGTCACCTTTTGTTCTGGAAAAAGCTCTAAGGATAAAGTTTTTTTTTGTTTTTTTTTTTAAGGGGGGCTAGTCCTAATGAGTTAACAGATGATCTAGTAAACCACACATGGTTGCTAATTTCTGTCAAGTCTTAACAGGTGACAAAAATGAGTCAAAAGACTGTTTAGCCTATGAATGTACTGTTTATACTGTTTATACTCAGACCAAAGAATAAGAGAGAAGATGGGTCTGAGGACCATCACATAAACAAAAAGAAAATTTGTGATCTCATTTACTTCATGATTCTCCTGAACAATACTTGACACACTCAAAATCTATCATCAACTCTGAAACATCTTTCTACAAGAACATGCTCCAGAGAAACAAAAGACCTGAGGCAAAGCCAGGGCTCCCAAGCCAAAACAAACACAGAAAGGTGGCTTGTGCCCTCCCATGCACCTGGGTCAGAGCCCCTCATCTTCTAGTAAAAGCCCTATTTACAAGGGCATTTATATCCTGGCAAGCAGCATTATGTCAGACCTGTTTGGTCAGTAATCTGTACAAACAGGCAAGAGAATGGCAAATGACTCAAGGCACAAGAAATCTGAATGCTTCTAAAATGTGCAGAGACGTTCTTTCTTTTTAAACAACATGACCTTGATGTTCCCACATTCAGACTTGCTTGAGGACTTAACTCAAGCCAATATCTACTTAAGTGCTTTCAAAATCAAACAACTAGCTCCAGTTGAAACTCACTTCTGACAGTATCAAAATCGTGGGCTGAAGAAAGGTAGAACTCTTACTTACCTAATGAGACAACATTTCCATAATTCTCCTGCATAACATCCCTGTAAAGGTCCCTTTGTGTAGGGTCCAGAGGTCTCCATTCTTCCCGAGTGAGGTACATTGCCATATCTTCAAATGTCACAGGTGCCTGAAATCACACAATGCCTCCTTATTACTTGTATCTAGGAGGTTGGTACCAACTTTTCTTCTTGAAAATGAGAGACATGTCTAGAAACGTTGAGGAGGTAAAAGGTATCAAGTCTGATCTGTAGAGTCCAAAGAAAAAAATAAACAAGCAAAAAAGAGATGTAAAAGAAGGAAGCAATTTATGAGCTGACCGCTCTGGTCTCTGCCCCACCACAGGACCCGTGCGTGCCCTTTAGACCCTCTTTCCTCAAAACACAGCTAGCACATACATACTCTAATTCACAATGGTTCTCTTTTCCTGTAGTATCTTTCTAAGATTATTGAAATCCTACTGTTCTTTAAGACTTTGTTTCCGTACCAACTGTCATTCCGACCCCACCCCCATCTCTGCTTCACACCCGCCCTCTAGACCCCATAGACACAAATAACCACTCCCACTTCTTGATTCCCACACCAAGGCACTTTGTCCCTAAGGCAAACAGAGCTCTTATCACGTGTATCACTCTTAACCGGATGCATCTGTCTCCTTACAGATTGTGAGCAGGCGGGGACGGCCCGTCTCATCCATCTTTTGTCTCCCCAATACTTAAAGGCATACAGTAGGTGTTCAATAACTGCTGGCCCGCGGCTACCCTAGCCTGGTACTGGATGCCGGGAGGCAACATACCGACCCGAGCAAATTACCACTCCCAGGGAATTTCTCAGAGATTTGCAGAGCAGAAAGACGGCTGGACGAGATGGGTAAGCAGAGGCAGGGGGCGAGAAGCACCCCCGGCTTACCTGGGACCCAGCCATGAGCAGGGTGGCTGCCATCTCGGGCTCAAGGATTCGCCTCCCAGGAGAGAAAGCAGGAAAAGCAGCTAACAGACAGCGCTAAGGGAGGCGAAAAGCAGGGCGTGAGGCACAGAAAACAGGCCCTGCCCACTCCCCAGGGCTGGAGTTCTGGCCGCCAGGCGGGTGGGGAGGGCCCTGGACCCGGGCCGGGTCGCACTCCTCCTGGACCCTGCAGCGCGACCCGCCCTCCGCGTCTCCGCCACCACGGGGTGGAGGCAAAGCCGGGATTGACTGGGGCAGCACCCAGGCTCGCTCCCCTCCCGGACCCCGGCTGTGGCAGCGCCGTCTCCGGGAGGAGGCGCCCAGCCCAGCCCACAGAACGCCCCCGCTCTCCAGCGCCCGGCCGGGCCCTTTCCGGCAGCTGCTCCAGCCAATCGCTCGAGGAGGGCGCGAACGCCCCGCCAATCACTCGCCGCGCACGGCCGGCCCCCCCGGCGCGGCCGGCCCCTCCAGCACGCCTGCGCGCGCTCGGCAGCCCTGCCGGGAGTTGCAGTTCCAGCCCCGCGTACAAAGGCCAGTCAGAGGCCAACAGCCAAGGAGGGAAAAGAACAAAAGGGTGGAAGGAAAGTGCGGCCTCCTGGCCAGGGGCGGTATCCTCCGCTTTCTTCTCCTGGAGACCGCGGCGCGCTAAAGTCAGGGAGGTTACTCTGCTGCGCCTCACGACCCTGGAAGCTTATCTTGGGCCCGGGCTTAATTGCGACGCCGAACCTAATGTAGACGCTGGCCCGTGTTGGGTTCCGTTGGGGTTAGCCCTCATTGGACAACCTGGACGGAGCGGGGCAGCACACGCCCACTCCCCCGGGGAGCCTCTACAGACGCGCTGGAACTTTGAGCTCCGCCCATGGACTACATCTCCCAGCAGCTCTTGCGGCACTTGCTCAGTGCTACGCGGACTACAACTCCCAGGAGGCCTGGCGCCGCGTGTCGGCTCTGGAGTGCGGGTCGGGTCCGCGCCAGCCAGTGTCGCGGCTCCATCGCTGTTAACCCTGTAGGGGCGACCCGCTGCGTCCTTCTCAAGAGGGCGCCCCTTGAAAGGCGGGCTCCGTATCGCCCACTGGAAGGGGAGCGAAAACCCTGAATATAATCAGAAGCGAGGCCCCAGAACGGTCTTTATCACCCGAGGGCTTGACCGCCAAAAGCATTCCCGGAGGCCTCCTGCACCTTCGGGAATGGGGTCACGGGGAGCCTGCGCCGAGCGGGTCCTCGAGATGGCTGCAGTCCCTGACCGGCTGAAAGCAGGAAGCCAAAAACCCGAGCTGGGGACGAACAGGCTTACCTCCTGATGTGCAAAAGATCCAATAGATCCGAGAGGCCTCAAACAGATTCAAAACTGCAGGCGGAGTTCTCTGAGACTTCCAGCGTTCGTAGAGATTCGGGAGATCACTGGTAGATCCCGGATAGCTCAGACCCGCAGGTAGAATTGCAGGCAAACGCCCGAGTTCGTGGGCGGATCCCAAGGACTCACGGATTCCGTAGACCTCAGACTCGGGCAGCTCAGAGAAACCACAGGCGCATAAGCAGATCCCTGCGACCACAGCAGTTAGCCAAAGAGCAACAGCAGCAGCTACGCTGCGTTCAGCCGGAGCCCTGAACGAAGGACTTGCCGCCTTCCCTTGTCCCAGCCCGGATGAGAAAACTAGACAATGGACTCCAGGCAGTGGGGAAAGCAGGCATTCTGCGTGGGGAAGAGCTCCGAGCTCGCTGTAGTCTTGGAGAGGGAAGTGATGGAAAAAGAATATAGCAGCTTATTAGGGACTCCCACCCTCTTCAAGTTATAAATATCCCCAGAACCTTGGCTACGTGCCCAGAAGCCTGTTGTCTCTTAACTGTACAGGAGACTACTCTGCTAGGCTGGGAAAGGGACTTTTCTTTTGTTTTGCAGATACATCCACCCACTGAGTGACTTGGATTTTTTTTTTTAACATGACTCCAGGCTCTGCTTTTATTAGTGAGTGTCCTGTTCTCAGTGCCCAATTATTTATGGCTAAATTACTCAAGTGTCTAAAAAGAACTAGGACCTTACCCAGCCATGAAGGTCTTCTACTCCCACTCCTCACCCCCCACTTTGAGGCTGGGAATACTTAAGACACCACAGAAATGTACCACCCTACTCCATCTAGAACTGATAGGGGTGTCACAAAAAAAACAAAAACAAAAACAAAAACAAAAACAAAAACAAAACCCAGAACCTGAATGGGTCCTGTGGAAAGTGTCCTTAATGGGAAGAATGTGTGGGGATCAAGGTCAGACAGTCCTGGGTTGGAATCAGGATTGTGTACCTTTGGAAAGACAGTTAATCTCTCCGGGCGCATTTGTCTTTCTGTAAAATAGTAACTCATACTTGAGATGGTGGTGAGTACTATGTGAAATGAGTTAAAATACTCCACAGTTATCTGGTAACTGTTGTTGCTATTACTATTATTATTACTGCTTTTGGTAGTAGGTGAGGGGGACTTCCAGAAAAGCCAGATCTTTTCACAGGCTCAGAAAATTTGGGAAGTCAGGGTGACCCAACAGCTGTGAAGATCTGCTAGTGACCTTATCCTCACATAGTGTTTTTGCTGGAAATCCAGAGGGAATTGCAGTCGGGCCAACTGGGTGGGTTTAAGCAAATGGTACGTTGAGCCAGCAGAGCAGAAGTATTTGGGACTGTCAGCAAAGCAGCAAGTTGAGGCCTCACCCTTAGAGAAACCTCTGGGGTGAAGAGGAGGGGCATCGGTTCAGACTTGCAGGTTTCTAATTAGGCCTAAGGTGAGACTAGCGCCTGGAGCCCGCAGCCCAGCAGGGCTCCCCCTTCGCCTCCTTTCTGACAGATTGCTTTGTAAACTTTCTTTAGGCCTTTTCTCCCCCAAGCTCCAGTACTTTAAGCCTCTTTTGTCCTCTCCCGGTGTCTTTTATTCTTCAGGCCTGCCTGGGGCAGGACAACTCTCCCAGCCCAGCTTGGCTGCTTGCCTCCTTCTGTGAGTATGTGCTTTTCTTTTTCTTCACCTGGGATCCTCCAGAGAGTGGAGGAGAGGCTGAGAGGGGATGGGAAGCATGACTGCCGTTGGCACTGCTTGGAGGCTGGGGAGGGCGAGGGACGGGGAAGAGAGGGAGGAAAGACAGTGGGTGAGGGGCTTCCTGCTGCAGCCTTCAGCTGGACTCTCTCGGGTTGGGGTCACTGGAGGAGGAGGCAGCTTCCTGCCTCATTGTTCAGGACTTCATTGTTTCTGGGGAATACTTACTTATGTGGGTTTTCAATAACCAACGTGGAGAGCTTTGTTGCCACCATAGAGCATACAACCTACTGTGTGCAGAAGCTGCAGCACAGCCTATTGCTGGGGTAAGGGACCAGGGGAACCTGGCATTATCTCCAAATGGGATTATAAATTAAATCAAATACACTGCCCAATTGGATCAAAGATCCTTCTTGTATTATCTTTAAGACTCTTATTATCTTTATTTATTATATTATATATTATATTATATTTATTATCTTATTATCTTTAAGACCACTGTGTCTGTGGAGCACTAGAAATTATTATATTTAATAAATAACAGTCCTATGGTTGTCTTGTGAGCAGCATTTGTGCTTGTTTGTTTACATGAGAAACAGTACTTTGTTAAAGATTTTAAAATATCCCTCAATATTTGTGATCTTGTTTTGTCATCTCTTCATTTTCAAATATACCAGGAACATCAAAGAGGCCCGGACTTCTCTTGACCCCTGCAGGGCCAGAGCTGGAGCCTCAGGCAGTTGTTGGGGACATGGGGGATACACTCTTGCAGGCCCTCACTGCAGGCTGAGGAGATGGTGGGCACTGGGAGGGTAAACGCAGGCCGGGGCCACAAGGGAGGCTTCTCAGAGGAGGTGACAACTGAGGTGACTTGCAAAGGCTGTAGGAGTTTTAGGAGTGGAGAAAGGGGGAAGGGAAGGCATTCCAGCCTGCAAGAACAGCATGTGCGAGGTCACGTAGGCGAGAAAGGACAAAGCTGTTCCAGAATGACTAGATCGCGGCTGAAGGGAAGAGTATGGGGGTGGAGTGATGGGGAGGAAACAGAGCAGGGGCAGTCTCTTACACTGCCCTGCTTGTCAGCCATTTGCTTGCCTTTGGCTGTGGACCAGCAAAGCTGGTGATGAGGTGCAGATGGGGGGGTGGAGGACAGATAAGCGGGGCTGGCCTGGGGTGAGGAGAGGAGACTGACTGCAGAGGAGGGGGTAATGGAGAGGATTAGGGAACTCCCTAAAACCTCATAGTTTCGGATGGTTTTCTCCTGAGAATCAACATTTTCCCCAAAATGCAAACAATTGCATTAAAAATATGTGACATCTTTTTTATCCCTCTCTGCAGCTTGGCTCCCACCTCCTACTCTCTTCATCTCTCGTAACTTCAGTTCGGTTGTCAAGGTGCACTAGTTTATTTTTGTGTTGTGTGTTTCATTTATCTAGTTTGTTTTCTTATATTGTTTTAATATATTTTAGGTGAAATTAGCCACTAGTTGTCTTTTTCTTTTTTAAAAAAACGTTTATTAGGGCTTTCTCTGGTGGCGCAACCTGTTAAAGCACCATACTTGTGAAGCTCTCTGAAGCCACTACCACATGAGTTTGATCCCTGGCCAGGGAGCTGACCTACATGGCGCGGCAGACCTCTCCTGGCCCGCCCGCTGCTCCCCTCAGCAGTGTACTTTGTCAATCTGTCTGTTCTGCTCCCCACTCTGTCTTCTGGTGAATCCTCTTACCCACACCTCTGGCCTGTACCCCAGTTTTGTAAGCATAAACAAATCTTTTTTTAAAAGGTTTGTTTATTTATGCAGAACTGGGGTACAGTCCAGAGGTGCAGGGATAGTAAGAGAATTCACCAGAGACAGAGTGGGGAGTAGAACAGACAGACTGGCTGAAATACACTGAGGGGAGCAGCAGGCAAGACAGGGTAGGTCTGCTGCGCCATGTGGGTCAGCTCCGTGGCCCAGGATTGAACGCATGCCGAAGCAGCTAGCTTCATAGTGCTGTAATTTAATCCATTCTGCCACTAGGGAGGGCCCTAACTTTCTGATTAAATCCACATCACATACCCCCTGTGGTTCCTTTTTTACTGCAAATAGCAAAATTAAATTTTTCTTTATAGATGAATAGTATTCCATTGTGTTTACAAACCACATCTTTATCTAGTTTCCTATCCATGGGCACTTAGGTTGCCTCCATATCTTAGCTATTGTGAACAAACAATGCTGCAGTAAACATTGTGCTGTATGTAATTCCTCAAATTGATGCTTTTATAGTCTCTGAACAGATACCCAGGAGTAAGATTGCTGGATTTTTAGTTTTAGTTCTTTTTTTGAGGAAGGCCCATACTACTTTCCAACATGGAACTTTGATGTACACTGGCACCAACAGCGTGTAAGATTTCCTCTTTCTCCATACCTGTGACCACTTACTAGCAGTCTTTTCATGTAAACCATTATATCGAGAGACTATCTGAGTGTAGTTCTGATTCGTGTTTCCCTAATAAGAAGTGGTGAACATTGTTCCATGTCTGTTGGGCATCTCTGTATCCTCTATACTCTCTTTGGAATAATGTGTTCAGATCTCCTACCCGCTTTTTAAATTTGTTAAATCGAATGAATTCTCTATATACTTTGGATATTAACCTCTTGCTAAATGTGTGATGTGCCAATAACTTCTCCTGGTCAGTAAGCTGTCCTTTTATGCTGCTGAGAAAGTCTTCTACTGTGCAAAAGCTTTTTAATTTTATATAGTCCTGTTTATTTTTAATTTATTTTGCCTTTGGGGTCAAGTCTCCCCAAACACATTTCTATCACTGAAGTCAGAGAACATATCAGGGCATGCTTACTGTGTTCCTATTTTGTACCAGATATTATGCTGGGAGGTAGGGCAGCTGTGAAGATTAAAAAGATTAAAAAGGCCTTTGCATCAGCCCAAGGGGGTAGAAAACATGAAAGACCTTGTTAGTGGTGGCGGCAATGGAAAGAGGGTTGGACAAGAGAAGGACTATAGGATTAATAACTGAGAGAGTGAAGAGGGCAAGCGGCAAGGGTCAAAGATGGTGCTAAGAAATGAATTAGTTATAGAAGCGATAGGACCCTTCTTGGAGACGCAATGGGTTAAAGTGCAGCACTATGAAGCTATATACCAGCCACTGCAACATGAGTTTGATTCCCAGCCAGGGAGCCACACGGTGCAGCAGACCTTTCCTGTCTTGCCCACTGCTCCCCTCAGCAGTGTATTTCAGTCAATCTGCCTGCCCCCCACTCTGCCTCTGGTGAATCCTCTCCCCACCACACCTCTGGCCTGTACTCCAGTTCTTATATGCATAAATAAATAAATCTTTTAAAAAATACAATAGCTAAAAGAAGGGATATAAGATGTTGGCTTAGTTTTAGATTAATTGTATTGAAAGAGCCAGCCAGCAAAGATTTTGGTGAGCTAAGTCTTCAGCTTGAGAAACCTCTGGGCTAGAAATCTCAGAAGAGGTGGTAGTCTGGATAAAACCAGAGACACTTCTTACTCCATATAGTATTTCAGATTCCCAGAACCTTTTGAAAATATCATTCAAATTGTTGAGGGCCTTCTATCTACTTTTGTCTTCAAGGTCTTCTGAACATAACACTCCTGGTGGATCCCCTCTCCTTTACCCCAAGCATGCTGCTTACTTGTTTACCCTCTCCTAACCTTGTCTTGTTCCTCTTCTAAGTCAAGTCTCCCCTTCCTAGGAAGCCTTCCTGGGTGGCAGAAATTAATGCTGACTCTCTTGCAGCTCATACCCTCATCTTGGAGGTAAATAAGCCAACACCTTAAATCCCTTCTTTTAGCTATTGTATTTTTTAAAAGATTTATTTATTTATGCATATAAGAACTGGAGTACAGGCCAGAGGTGTGGTGGGGAGAGGATTCACCAGAGGCAGAGGTGGGGGGCAGGCAGATTGACTGAAATATACTGCTGAGGGGAGCAGTGGGCAAGACAGCATCTACAGCACGTCTTTACCTTGCCACGAGGAGCACGGCCTGGCCCTGTGGCTGAAGCACAGAGCTGGGTGAGGCAGAGGCTAGGCCTGCAGGGCACCGGAGACCTTGCCAAGACCAGTAGGGAAAAATGGAAAGTTTCAACTGGGGGTGATGGCATTGGGCTGTAACATGATCAGGTTTACAATTTTGAAACCCTATTCTGGTCAGCACAGTGGAGAGCATGAATTGGTGCAGTTCCAGAGTGGACACAGGAAGAGCAGTGGGGGGGCACTGATGAACACAGTCTGAGGCCTATTCAGGCTTTCTGTGTCCTTTTGTGACTGTAGATATGAACTGTATAGCTGTGCAGACTGGAGCCAACTTGTTCTTTGGCTGCTTAATCTGACTCATCTCCTTTGTAAACAGTAAAATACTGAGGGTGGAGATTCAGTTTTGTATTTTGTCCTGTGCTGTAAATCCCTATGACACTGGGAACACAATGGATATTCAGACCATGACTACTGAAAATTGCCCCCGGGTGCCACCTTTAAAAAGCAACATTGACATTATTATATTGATTGTGGTTGTTATTTTGTTCTGCTTTTGGTTTCCGGAAAATTGGATGGAGGGTTAGATAATGCAGAGAAAAATCTGGCTGCCTCAACACTTACGACTCAAAGTGTGGTCTGTGGACCGGCAGCCCTGGGCATCTCTGTGGAGCTTGTTGGAAATGAAAAATCTCAGGCCCCACCCAGACCCACTGAAGCAGAACTTGCATTTTAACATGATCCCCAGGGGATTCCCTCCCATAGTAAGATTTAAGAAGCATCAGGGTATCTAAGCAACATCACTACTCACTTGTGTGGGTAACACACCTCAGATGTGGCCTTCACCACATCCTGTCTGATGTGGAAGTCTGTGCCTAGGCTTTCCTTTACTGCCAGGCTGAGGATTTCTGCAAGGCAGGCACAGAGTACCGTGCCCGACTCTGCCTCCCCTTAGCCTCGAGCACAGGGACAAGAAGCAGGACTGGGTTTCTGTCCTGGTTCTGCCATTTCTGAGCTGTTTGGGGATCTTCTGTGGAGGGTTTTCTATCCTTCCCAAGGACCCACCCCAAAACCTGTAGTGTATTTCTATACACTGCTTGTTCACAGGTTTCACCTACAGAGGGAGGCACTGGGCCAGTGGAGGAGAGAAGGTGATAACCAACACAAGTGGATGACTGTGCACATCAACATAAGAGAACCCTAATAGTGAACCAGGGGAGGAGATCCAGGGCTTCTGTAATCACAGAGGCGTGACCAGGCTGCCTTGAGGACTTCTGTGGAATCCTGGGCCACACAGGGAGCCATCAGGAAGGCAGTGCCCAGGCTTGGGCAGGTTCCGAGACACAGGACCTCCTGTGGCCACGGAACTCAGGGCACTGTTGTGCTCTTCACTTAGAAAGTTCAAGACTATCTATTCCCTGCCTGTAGGGACTAGATTTGGAGTCCCCAAAGGCAACTCTGAACAGGGAGCAACAGAGAGTTTTAGAAAGACATGAGAAGCAGGAAGGGGCCCTGTGTCCCTGGCCTGCGTGCACGATGTGGGGGTGGGGGGTGGGTTGAGAGTGTGTCAGCTTGGTATTTTTCCATTTAGAAAAGCATGGAGGTTTTGAGTGTGAGGGGAGTTGTACCAAAAAGGTACTGTCAGACCACTGCCAGCCACACACCTCAGCTATGAGGCTCTGAAGCCTCTATACCTTAACTATACTGCCCCCATGAATCCATCATTATTAATAACCAAGTATTAGTTGATGAAAGAATTCTCCCTCTGATCCCTATTACCCCATTCAGTGGTCAACCATTTTCTTCATTTCCATTTTATTTTTTCTCCAGTTACGATGGTATAGTGCGTTTTCTTTGTTCTTCCTCATCCTGGTCACTGAAATTTTGGCCGGCATCTATCAGCAGAACTACAAAACCAAAAAAGGCAACAACATCTCAGAGTTTTCTCTGTGTCCCCCAACGAGGCTAGGGGTGGGGGCAGGAGATTGATAAAAAGGTTGGGTCAGGGGCACACAGACCAGGGCCCATCCCAGCTCCTCCATCATTAGCCGTGTGACCCTGTAAAACGCTGGCGATGGCGAAGGTAGTAAATGATGGAAATTTGATGCTGGACATGTGGTGAGCGCTCATTTCAGGGTCAAAAATGTCTCAGAGACCACTAGTAACTGCTCGGTTAGAGCACGTGGTGCAATGTCCAACGTCGCGTGGCTGCCACCGCGATGGGCCCTGCCGGCCGCTCACGGGCTGGGCAGCAGCGCTGGGTGTGGAGCACGCGGCCACCCTCCCCGGGCACCAGCCGGCACTGCCGCTGACCGCACACCCTGCTAAGCCATCTCTACAGGACTGACCCGTCTCATCGTCATAGTTACCCTATGAAACAGCCACCATCTCACCCCCATCTTCACAGATAAAGAAGCAATTCAGATAAGTGACTTGCTCAAGCTCCCATGATGCCAGCGCGTGACAAGATCGGACTGGCACGGACAGTGGTTTCTATGGGCCTGGGCACAGGCACACTCTTGGCACGTGCTGTGCGGGTTATCGCTGCATGACAGCTGGGGACAGAGGCAGGCAGGGCTGAAATTCAGCCCAGTCTCTGTCATGCCCTGTGGGGCTGTGAGTATCTGGGGCAGGGACACCTCTTTCTAAGTGGCCAAGACACCACATGGACTCTTCGAGGCCCTGTGCATGCTCTCTGCGCGCTACCCTCTCTAAGCCTCTAACCAGCTCTGTGGGCTAGATCTTGACGCCCCCGTTTTATAAGTGAGGCAATCAAGACCTGGAGAATTCAAGTCTCTTTCTAAGTGGTAAAACTAGCACATGAGCCTGACGCCAAAGCGATGCTCTGAGCCACTAGGCCCATGTGGGCCCATCTCTAAGTAAGAAAGGTAAAATACGAAATCATCTGACTTTTATCTTTCAAATATGGTGGTTCTAACGAGGCTCCCAGGATGGGAAGACCCTGAGTAAGGAGATGGGAAACTCAGCTGATGCAGTGGGTTTCGGTGGCCGAGCTGGCTAAAGCGACTACCGCAGGGGGCGCCTTGTCACAGCTGTCTGTAGAGTGTGTGTGTTTACGTGATCTTTGCATCGGCTACAGGGAAAGGATTATCCTCATTCTTGCTCGGGGGTGAGTGACACACTCAGGGTCATACAGCAAGCAGGCCAAAGCAGGGGCCTAAAACCAAGGCTCCCGACCCTCAGTTCAGTGTTCAGTCCTGGGCTCCTTGCTAAGGGCCTGAGACCTTGTGGCACAGCGACAGGTGGTGGCCCAGCCTTCACATCATGATCAGATGGTACTGGAGTCTGCTGACTCCACACGGCATACATGGTTCTTTCAGAGGGTGGCATGGCCAGAAGGAGCACGCGGGGAGGTGTCTGCTTGGCTTCCAGGCCACCTGAAAACAACCCTTCTGCTGTGTAGGAGCTGAGGCAGCCTGGGTTACTTGGGAACAGCTCGGGGCAATGCCCCTTGGCCAGGGCTACCACTTCCTTTCATCCCCAGCTGTGGCCAGGGCCAGAGGAAATGCCATCTGTGAAAGCACTCTCCACAGAGGAGTGGCCCCAAAGTGTGCTCTTGCCATCCCTCTCCTCTGGGGATCTCAGGAGGCTTGAGTTCATCTGTGCTCACAACAGACTTGCCCATCCTGTGATAAAATGTGAGGAGCCCCGCTGTTTCAGTGGGGTGCCTTCGCAAATGGAAAGACTCCTTCCTTCTCCAATAACCTGTCACCGTTCCCAGCCTTGCAAACCCCCTGTGTGTAGGCAGGCAAGCCTGCCTAAGCTTCCTATGCAGGAAGCCCCTTGTGTGCTGCGAGTATATGCCTCCCGCGTGGGACGGCACTTTTTTTGCACAGCAGGAGCCAAGATCCAGACATACTCACCTTCCAGCGATTGCCACATTCATTGCATAAGACAAAGGTGGTCATGGGCTCATCGGCACTGCGTGTCTGCACCTGAGAGAGAGCAAGGGCCTTCTATGAGCACTCTCCTGCTCCAGGGCCTGCAGAGGCGCCCGCAGGATGGAGAGGGTCTCCGTCTCAGAGCATCAAATTAATCTCTTGCCTTAGAGTTCATCTCCTATAGGAAGAATTCCCTGGCTCAGCCCTGAACACGTCTATATAGTGGGCCTTGCTGATCAGACCTGAGTGAGCTGGCGGCACCTTCAACATCTTTTGTTTCCTACTTGACCAGCAGATGAATGGAGGTCCAGAGAGGAAAAGGAGTTTGAAGGTCATTAGGACTATTTAATGTTAGGCTTTCTAGTTTCACAGCCCCATTTCCCACCGCAAACTCCTGGCATTTCCAGATTGAGCAATTACTGTTCTGATTTTCTACAGCCAACCCTGGCTTGTGGGGCTAATCCTGGATGGCCATGACCTATAGCGAGTTCCTCCGCTCACTCCCAGTCATGCAGCTTGGAGTCTGTGAGTGGGGTGGGGCCTGCTGGACAGGGGGCACAGCTCACAAAGAGCAAGAACACTGGGTTTCCCTGAATAGAGATTTGCAGTTTACTTGTGGGAGGTGACACCCAGGATGCACCTTACTGGCTTGGAAAGGGCTTAAGAGAGTGGAGGTTGCCCAGCCAGCTCTCAATTCCAGAATCAGAATTCCCCAAGGGTCCCTCCTGGATAGCCAGGGGCCTAACCAGATTTCTGTGTTGCTTTGGAACCCCCTAACAATGTGCTTCTGAAAAACACTTGCTTGTGAAGCAGGGGAGGTATGATAAGGTACCAAGAACACTGGTGTCCTAAGGGTAGAACACAGACAACCCAGAAACAGGAGGTGGTCCTCTGGTTTGGGGGTCTCCATGCTGGAACAATGGTCTGTCCTGAGGACTGGGGGCGAAACCCTTTGTGTTAGGCTGACAAGTCTGATGTGCAGGCAAGCGGGCCTGGGCCTGGCCCGACTATTTCTGCTACTGACGGTCTTCACTACTTTGGGTAAAGCTGCAAAAACCTATCTGGGCCTCAGTTTCCCTGCGGGTAAAGTAAGAGAACTGCATTTTGAATCACGAAGTCACAGCCATCTTGACTCTACACAAGTCCTGTGCCCTGGGAATGTGGTTTCTTTTATTCTTAACTCAGGGCAGACCAGACCACGCTGGCCACGCTTGTCAGGAACAAGCCTGGGTGATTCTACACGCAGGAAACATTTTCTAGAAGACACAGGTACAACAACATATTGGTATACCAGACTGGCCCTTCTCTCTGCAGCCTGGAGTTTTAGCCCGTCCTCTTCCAGGCTGTTTCCTAAACTCTCTCTGTTCTCCACCTCTGTGCCCCTGGGGCCTCCCCACCCACACCCCCCAAACCTCCAAACCTGGTTGTAGGTGCAGTTCTTCTTCTTGCATTTGCTGCACTGGAAGAGGTCGGTGGTGGTACCACCTGTCTTAGCCATCTGGTGCTCACGGATGGCCTCCTGGGTCATGGCATTCCTCAACTCCTTCAGCTCATCACTGGCCATTTCCTGGAGAGAAATGATTGTGCCCTTCAGAGCCAGGGAGCCCCAAGGGCCTGGATCCATACATGGTTTCTAGAAAGGCTGCACAGAGGCGGCTGTATTGAGTGCAAGAATCTTGAGAGAGGCCTGGACTCCTGACCCTGCCCCAGGTGGGAAAAGACCACACCTCGAGTCCTCATTCTGCCTTTGGGTGAAAGGTCAAACGTAAGGGCTCTGGCTGGGCCAAAGGCAGAAGGCAAACAGCTTCCACCCCATGACCAATACTCCTATGTACATTTCCTCAGGTCTGGTGCCCACCCCATCTGCCAGGACTTCAGCTACCTGCCTGTACCTTCCTGCTGAAGTTGACATGGCCACTGACCACCTGAACCGGATGCCGCCCTAGCCTTTCAGTCTGGGCTTGACCCAGGGCTGCTGGAGTGACCGCTGCCCCGGGGAACCTCACCATCAACTTCCCACTCCCCTTACCAAGCAGGACCTTGGTTAGTCACATGACTAACTACTCACCTTTTTCTCTAAGACAGAACAGTCTCCTGTCTCCCACCAGCTTACTACAAACACTTATGATCTAAGTCCTTCCCTTCTCTCTTGATCTCCCTGGCCATTCACCGCCCCTTAAGCTTCTGCCAGAGGGGAGCAGTGAGGGGGACACTCAAACTAGAGAGAACACTAGGGCTACTTTTGGAGAAAGGGAGGATGGCTGAAGCTAATGTTAAGTGGCTAAATATTCTCATTCTTGCTACATCTACCGTGACTCCTTGCAAGATGCAGAACAGAGCCAACAGGAAGCCGAGATGATGTGAGTGTGCCTACCACCCATTGTAGCCACTTGAGCTTCTGGATAGAAGGCAGGTTCCTATGAATCAAACTGCTACAGGTAGGCCCAGGAAAATGCATTTTTCCTAGTGCCCCCCATTATTCTGGTGCACACTAATGTTTAAATGTTGCTGTGTGAGGGTCCTCCATGGCGGCACAAACGGGTTAAGGCGCAGCACTGCAAGCTGGCCTTAGCTGCATCGGTGCATGTTCAATCCCCAGCCCCGGAGATGACCCCTGTGCTGCAGCAGACCTTTCCTGCCTCACCTGCTGCTCCCCTTGACAGTGTATTTCAGCCTGTTTGGCTCCCACTCTGTCTCTGGTAAATCCTCTCACCTCCCCTGCACCTATGGCCTGTGCCCCAGTTCTGTATGCATAAATAAACCTTTTTTAAAAAGAAAACATGGTGGAAAATGAGGACAGGAGATGGCCCTGCATCCTCACATCCTATACAGATAGGGAAAGCCTATCTGTATAGTGTGTACCCAGAACTATGACATGTCCACTGAACAGCTTGGACGCCCATCTCAGAATCTACTCCATTCTTGGGTGTGTCTGGGTAGAGGAAAAGACAAAAGGAGGAAGAAAGAGGGATGAGGTGGGCCAGGAGAGAGACACAGAGCAGTGTTAGGGAGTGACAGCAGTGCAGAGAGACTGCCCATCCACATAGGCACCCGCTGTGCCAGGTGCTCGGACGAGCTCCCTGTCTTCACAGCCGCAGCGTAGCATGCAGCCCAGCTCTAAGTTACTGTTTTTGCTTGTAGAGCAAAAGTGATCCTGTCTGGGGCATCCTGAGGTCTCAGATGATGGTCTCCTTGGCATCCTTTGCCTGAGTTGCTGGTGAAGTGGGGGGAGGGGGTTTTGGCAGCTTGCCCCGGGCAATCCCTGGGGTGCCTGATCAACCTTGCAGGCCTGATTCTCTTGTCCCGTTCTAGAGAACAGAACTGGCGTGGGGCCAGACTTCATCCCTGTGTCTGTCTTGGACTTTTGCTTTGCTGCAACTCCTGGAGCCTGTCTTTATCCTCATCCAGACATCCAGCTCTGTTCTGATCTCCAGTTTCTGGGAACTTGCTGGGTCTGGCTCAAACCTGTGTCTGTACATTGCTCTTAGTTCTCCCGAGCCTGGTTTCCCAAAATGTGCCTGGAGTTGCCTGAAGATGGTCTCAGGCTAGCATTCCTATGACGCACCCAGAAAGGGAAGCAGAGGGAATGCGGAGCACAGAGGGAGACACAGAAGCAAACACAAACCCCAGCTTTCAAAGCAGTCACAGCCTCACCATGCAGGGAAGGAGAGAACACTGCTAAGCCAACTTGCACTGTGTAACCCTAGCCTATGTTGCTATTTACCTAAAATGATCAGGTATTTTAAATTTAGCAGAAAGAGGGGGTCTCTCTGGTGGCATAAGGGTTAAAGACAGCACTACCAAGCTATCACCAGTCACTGCAGCACAAGTTCAATCCCCAGCCAGCCAGGGAGCTGATGCACATGGTGCAGCAGACTTCTCCTGACCCACCCACTGCTCCCCTCAGCAGTGTATTTCAGTAGATCTGCCTATTCTGCTCCCCACTCCATCTCTGGTGAATCCTCTCACTTCTAACACCTCTAGCCTACACCCCAGTTCTTGTATGTGTAAGTACATAAGGATAAATCTTTTAAAAAAAAGTTTAGACTATAAGACCAAATTAGTGGTAACTGGATGGGAAGAGGGGTGAGCAAATTAGGTAAAGTGGTCAATTGTATGGTAACAGAATTAGATTTTTAGTGATGAATATTTATACAGATGTTTATAATAAGGTTTATAATAAGGTACATCTGAAATGTATATGTTATTATGCAGCATCATTTCAATTAAAAAATACGTAACATGCGGCCCTCCCCGGTGGCGCAGCGGGTTGGAGCACAGCACCAAGAAGCTTAAGCCACTTGCGCATGAGTTCGATCCCTGCCTGCCCTGGAGGAGATCCACATGGCGCACAGACCTCTCCTGACCTGCCCACTGCTCCCCTCAGCAGTGTACTTCCTTGATCTGCCTGTTCTGCTCCCCACTCTGTCTCTGGTGAATCCTCTCACCCTCTGCATCTCTGGCCTGTACCCCAATTCTGTATGAATAAATAGAATAAATAAATAAATCTTTAAAAAAAATACGTAACATGCATGACATACACACAGCGCACACTAATCACACACAGGACACCACCTACACCCACCCACCACACTCATACCACAGACAGACAGACGTCTATCAATGGTTTCAGGGAGACCCGAGGCTCTGGGAGGCACACCAAGTTTTCTGGACCCCAGTGCACCTGCACATCCCTTCTTTGGGCCACTTCGACTGAGTGACATGTTAGTAACGCCACCTCCAGGTGCTTGCAGTAAAAGCATCTCATCTCAATCAACATGCTCATCTGTCTGGGCAGCTGCGTGTGGCAGTCGCGTCCTCATCTAGAAGAGTATCTCCCCCTCATAGCGCTGCACAGGAAGTCACATGAACGGCCGATGAGTGAGCCTGTATGTTAATCCTGTGGAGAGCTTTACATCCATTCACTGTCTAAACATGTCACATATTCAGTCCTTTATGAGACAGTTATTCTCCGTCCCATTTTACAGATGAGAGAGCTGAAGTGCAGAGAGGTTAAGTAGTTTGTTGTAGATCACACAGCAAAGGCAGAGGCATATAGGGACGGCCCCAAGCTTGCAACTCTCCATTGTACTTTCTCACACAGGTTTCTTCCCTTTTGCTCCCTTATGGAGCCCTTAAAGCTGGATCAGTCCTTCTCTCCTGTAAGTCCCCATGGTGGTTTCGTCATAGTAGTTAACCACCACTGTATTATAAATACAGATCTTCCTCAACTGACAGTGGAGTTACCACCCTGTAAACCATCTAAGCTTTACCTACCAAATGCCACAGCTTAGCCTAACCTGCCTTCCACATGCTCAGAACACTTCCTTTAGCCTACAGTTGGGCAAAATCACGTAACATAAGGCCTATTTTATATTAGTGTTGAACATCTCAGCTGGGCATTGTGTAGACATGATGAGCTACGAAAACATGAAATGAATGGCCTCCAAAATGCTGCAGCACCATGTACCACAGAGAAGAAGTGATCACCTTGTGGTCAGCTGGCTGACCTGACTATGGCTCGCTGCGCTGTCCAGCATCTAGAGAGGACTGTGCTATGTGACCAGCCTGGGTAAAGATCAACACTCAAATGGTTTCTACTGCTTTGCACCATCACAGTGTTAAAACACCCTAAATAAAATGTATCCCTCATCTGGGATCAGCTGTATTTTTAAATGTCTCTCTCCCTACCCTGGACTATGATCCATGAGACAAGGACCTCTTTTGTGGGTCCTTGGCCCAGGGCTGGGTAATGGGATGTAAGAACGAACAAGGCGGAGAGGCAGAGTGTGCAGGTGTGAAGAGTAGGGACTCTGGGGTCAGGCAGTTTGCCTCTGGCTTCAACAGTGTCTAGCTGTGTGTGTGGGCAGTGAGCTAACTCTCGGGGCCTCCATTCCTCATCTGTGCAATGGGAATAGCAAACATTGCTCCCTCAGTTGGTAAGAAAGGAAAATTGGATAATGCACCTAGAGACCCGACGGTCTAGGGGCCCCAAGAGTTGGGGAGTCTGAGATGGCCTGATCTGGAAAAGCCCGATTCACCTCCACTGAGGTACAAGGTACTAGCACGTAGACTTGGTTAAGCAAAGCTCCAGTCTCCCGTCCCACCCCTAGGAAGTCCCCTGCCCCACCCCTGGGAAGTCCCCTGCACCCCCGCCCCTCACCTCCGCGGTCATCTTGGCAATAAGCCCCGCTGAAATGGCACCGCTGAGCACATTCCGCCGCAGGCTGGGATTCCTGGGGTCCTTGAGGTTGCTGATCCGACTCCGCACACGGTTCCGGTACTTCATATCCGTGCTCTTGAGCTCCTGGTATATATGTGACATGGTCAAGGGCCAGTCAGCCATGCACAGATGGGGAGCCGAGCCCTGAAGCCTGAGGAATGCCAGGCTCTCTCCCTCTTCATGGACATGTATGGAGGTGGGTCACCTTTGTGGCCTCTAGTGCCCCAACTTGGCGTCTCACCTGGCATTAGGGACATAGTATCAGGGACAGGAATCAGCCTCCTGGGTGAGACCAACAACACTGTGTTGACAGGGAGCCTGAAGCATGACACCAGGTCAGCTTGAGCCTTTTATGTGAACTCAGGTGACCTCTCTGTGCCTCAGCTTCCCAATTTATATATCACAGGACCCTTATGAGGTTCAGTGAGGAAGCCTTAGGGTACACTAGCATGCTGCTGGAACACATCAAATGTTCCATAGCCAGGGGGCTGCTGAGATGACAGAGGTGAGGACCTCTAGTTTGGGCGGCCAGCTGTCGGGAAAACAGAAGGTGGAAGGCACAGGTTTAAGGTTCTAAGAAGTATCACAATAAAAAAACGGCCTGGTGCTCCTAACTTAGCCGGTCACAGAATCACTGCCTGGCCCTGACTTTTGTCTCAGCACACCCATCCCATCCTATAGAAACTGCCTGGGGAGGACTGGTCCATTACTTCTCTCATTAACAGATGAGGAAATTGAGGCATAGAAAGGGTGCAGCCCTGGCTCAGTCACAGAGCCGATTCCTGGCAGAGACAGGGTGGGAGCCAGGCCCCCTTCTGGCAGGGACGCTCTCCCCACTCCGCCACCAGGAAGTCGCCGCCACTGACCACAGTGATTCCTCTGTCCAGACACCGCCTTTCAGGAGGGCCTCCAGCACCCCCAGGCAGGCTTCCCTCCCCACTCCCACCCCCCCTTCTCCATCCTCTGGAGCAGCTCTGGGAACACAGCCACGTTTTCTTGGTCTTCTCCACGAAGCAGTCAGGAAGAGGAAGCCTTTGCTGGGAAAACCCATATGCAAGGAAGGGGCTGCAGGGAGTGGGGAGAAATGGAGACAGCTGACTTGCCAGAAGAGGTGGGAGGGAAGGTGCTGCTGCTTATTTATTGCTTCTGTCATTGTTTTAATGCTGATGGACAATAAAATTGTGGGGGAAAATGCATTTGAAAGTCAAAAAAATTATTAAAAAATCTATTTTGGGCCAGGGTCAAATAAAATCTAACTTAAAAACTAACCACTGAAAAGCTGATCACAGAACTAAGGCCCCCAGGACAGAGGGAGAGGTGAGGACAGAGAGGGCAGAGCACACTGGGCCGGGGGGGGGGGGGGGGCTGTGGGTGCCTTCCTGGAGGGTGCTCTGAGGGAACTGCACTTAGTGGGGGAAAACTCACGGTACTTCAATAAAAAACTTAAATAACTGAAATCTGTGTTGGCAGCCCTGGAGCTGTGGGTCTGCTCCATGCTGAGGGGGGTCGAGGGGTCCGACAGCCAGCAACAGAGCTTTCCTGGGGCCTCTTTCTGCCTCTGTCTCCACTTCCTGAGGTCACAAGGGGTGACCTCTCAGGAGCAATGTGAGCCCATGTGGCTATATTAACCCAGGGTCCCTCTAAAAAGGACAGGTCATTTTGGGGGCACAGAGCACTGAAGCCTCCAAACTTATCCTCCCTTTGAACTCTCACCAGAACCAAAAGCTAAAGGACAGATGATGCAGCCTGCATTTCCCTTTCAGAAGAGGGACCCTCAGAGGGGGAGAGGCCAGAACTGTGTACTGGGTCATCGCCTTTGTTACAAATTAAGCCTGACAGAGGGTCTGGTCAGAGAAGACAGAGACGCAGTTCACGGTAGTTCTGATGCTTGTGCTGTGTTCCTGGACTAACTGGAAACTGAATATGGACTCGGTGAGGTGCTGGGTAGCTCAAGACATGCTGCTGAATAATTAAAGGATGGTAGAGGGAAACCGCAGGAAATGTGTGGGAAGCTGTTAGGGTGGGCCTCAGGAGAAGGCGGCAGGAGAGTTAGCTATCTGCAGACAGGGCCTCTGCCCTCTACACCCCCAGTCCCCAACAGGCCAGCGGTGCTTCCCAGGTCAGCAGGCCAGAAAAGGGTCACTCATACTCCAGGGTAATGCTCAGAATCCCTCCCTCTGGGAATTTTGCGTTCCCCCACCCCCACCCCCATTCTCCCCATCGCTTTGACATGCAAAGCTTTGTCTCCAGTGGAAGAAATTCCATGCATTCATTGTGGGGAAGGACTTTCCCCCCAAACAAAAACCTTTTGTTGAGATGGGCCCACATGATACAGGTGGGCCCTCCTGGGTCTGCACAAGCCCCCCCAGCTCAGCTAGTGGGAGAATGGGGCCTATGGAAAGAGCTCAAGACACAGAATCCAAAGATGAAGAATTTCAGCCCCACTGTGACGCCCAGTAATTCCTGAGCCTCAGTTTCCTCACCTACAAAGTGGAAACAATAGCCGTTGCCTGCAGAGATTGTTCTGCGGTGACTGCAGTAGGAAGTCAACTGCTGATCACAACCCCTGGAATGCCCAACAGGTGGTCAGGATGGCAGCTGTCACCCGGGGGGCAGGGTGGAGGACTGTGCCTCAGAACTGCTGTCTCTACTCTGACTTCACAGCCAGGCACAGCTGACACACCTGGACCTGTTTGGCCCAGCAGAGCGGCCTGCAGAGCCTGGAGTCGCACTCTCTGGGTTCCAGCCCCAATTCATCCACTGCTACTTGCAGAAGGAGCTTTGCAGGTAACCAAACTGAGCCTGACAACAGACTCCTGGCCCAGCAAGGACCAGCAGTGCAAGGCAGTCTGGTCTGAGGCAGTGCAGGAGCGCTCCTGGAGCCCGGCCCTCCCCCTTCCCTGTCCCAGGTCCCTGGGTATGAGAGGCTGCTGCAGCAGGACAGCCCTGACCCGCAGCCCAGCACAGCTCAAGGATATGATCTTCAATTTCTGATGCCATCTTGTCACAGTTGACTCCGTAGTCTTTGTAATCATCTAAAAGGTTTGGAAAACAGGTATGATTCAGACAGCTGCTTGTACAGGGGGCTCCCATGTGAGCCCTGTGACTGAGGGTGGTGCTTCCCGGGAGTCAGGGGAGCCCTTCCTTCCAGCCCTGGCCCACGCCCTCTCACCGTCAGCTTTCAGGGCCGCTGAGAGCATCTCCACACACTTGTCCCGCACAGAGTCCCCAGTGAGATAGCAGGGCGCCAGGAGACAGGCGGAGGGGGCAAAGATGGGGGTCAAGGGGCTGCTGGGTGTTTTGGGGGTCTCTGCTTTTGATTTGCTGCTGTGTGATCTGTGGACGACAATCAGGAAGACACTGTGACGTTAAGTGAATAAAGCATTTACGAGCACCACTCTGCAGATTTCTAGGGGTCATCCCTTTAAACACTGTACCAAGCCTGCAAGATTGGCATGACCCGTCTCCCACTGAGAACTGAGTGTTGAGTGTGACCAGATAGGGGCAGTAACACAACGGCTACCTGTGTGACCATAACAAGCCTCGCATCCAGGTGTACAGCACCACATCAGCTTTCTGGAATCTGAACCTAAAGCCTCTATAAGAGACACTTTCCCCTACAGCACTCACAGTAGCTGTGGACCCCACCTTAGGGAGCTCCATCTCAGCTGCTGCCCAGGAGCAATAAACTACTTCTTCAGCTTTTCTGTCTCCGCTCTTTCTTCCTTGCAGCTGGTCACAGAAATCGGGACAAAACACTGAGCTTTAGAAATCGACGCATTTAAAGCAAGGTAACATCTGGAAACCAGCAGAGCCAAAGTGGAAGCCCGGGGAATCAGAGTAGGGTCCTTGTGGTTCAGCCGACCCTGGTACCTTACTGGTCACAGATGAGTGTGCCAATTCCAGCCAGACACCACCCTGCAGCCCATTACACTCCCTGCCAGCTGATCTCTCTGTGTTCTCATGGACCATTATTCTCTCAGCTATTCTGTATGTATTCGGCACCCATTCTCCTATGCTGAAAACAAGGGGTAATGCAGAGAAATCAGAAAAGTTTCCTCCCTTCAAAAGTTCCCAGTCTAGTGAGTGAATAGTGAGTTTATTGCCATTAAAAAGGGCTGGCTTTCACCAAGCACCAGGCACTAAGGGAGAATTTTCTTTTCCTAATTTCTGCTTAGAAGAACTGGGGTGTGGGCTAGAGGCACAGGAGGCTGGGGGCAGGGGAGAGGATTCGCCAGAGACAGAGTGGGGAGCAGAACAGGTGAACTGACTGAAATACACTGCTGAGGGGAGCAGCGCGAGACAGGAGAGGTCTACTGAGCCATGTGGGTCAGCTCCCTGGCCACGGATTGAACTCAGGCCATTGCAGTGAAAGCACTGAGAACTAACCCCCAAGGTCATCAGGGAAGCCTTTGGGAGAATTTTCTAATTTAGTCCTTGCATCAGTGCTAGGAGGTACATTACCTGTCCTCCCCCCCCCCCCCACTTGCAGATAGGAGATGGGGTCTGCCTACAGATTCACCACTAAGCCTGGGACCCAGATCTGCCTGACCCTGACCCTATGCCCTAAAGTCCTATGATACACTGCCTCAGGGGGGCCCCATTTGGTGTGCACTGGCATAGGCCAGGCGTTTGGAAAGGCGACCATGTGTCTTAGCTCCAGCTGCCAGAGAACAGAACCTGCAGACTGAAGTCCAAGATCAAGGTGCTGCTGGGTTTTGTGTCTGGCGGGAGCTCTCTCCTTCTCTCCTGTCCCACGAGGGGGAGGGGGAGAGGGAGAAAGAGGAAAAGAGAGGGAGAGAGAGGGAAAGAGAGGGAGGGAAAAGGAGGAAGAGAGAGAGAGAGAGAGAGACCTCATGTGTCTGCAATCCTTCTGGATGAGTCTGAGTCTCCAGTTGGTCATTCAGAGGAGTGGCCAGGGCAATGCTCAGTAGAAATGTGAGGGAGCAAGAAAGTTCTTGGTTTGCATGGACAAGGCTGAGGGGCTTAGAGACACTGCAGCCTGAGGGTGAGGAAGCTGGAGAGGAAGAACCCAAGGCTGCTAAGGATGGGCGTAACAAGAGCCACCCTTTGCTGCCTGTCTGCAACATGCTCCTTTCTATAACCCTGGGAGGCACAGGTACCGGTCTCATTTACAGACAAGAAGATGGAGTAATAGCTGCACTACTTCCTGCCTTTTGTAGCTCTTCCTGCACTGTTCTTGGGGACCAGGTAATCAAGATGTCTTCATCTTTTGGCTTCTCCCCGTTTCCTCTTTCATTGCCCCATGGTGTCTGCCAATGAGATCTCATGCCCCCTAGGAAAAGCTGACTCATCAAGGTTGAATAAAACAGGGTCCTCCCACCCACTCCAGGGTTTCACCAGCGATGCCATGTGGAAGGACATGAAGGGTGGCTACGGCTCCTAACTCCAGGGGGCGCTGTGTGCAATAGGACTGTACAGCACCAGCCAGCACCACAGCACAGGCCCGCACCACAGCTCCAGGAGCTACAGATGTGTCTGGAAGGGAACTCTGGGCGTCTGTCAAAGTTTTTCAGGCTCAAGGAGCTGTGTGGTGAAGCTGAGTAGCCCAGACTCCCCTGAGAAACGAGAATCTCATTCAGCTTGCCCCTGGGCACTCACCACTGTCAACTTGTTTCCCAGCTCTTGCTCTTTGGTCTGACCTTGGGGTCCCTGTGTCAATAGACTCTTGCTGAGCTCTGGGGCTCTGGGAGTTTTGCATTTTATGTACCCTCGGGTTCCTCAAAGGTGTCTCAATGCTGCCACTAGGGTGGGGTGGGCTGGAGAGACAAAATTCTCTCTTCAGTTCCCAAAAGTCATGCATAAAGGACTTCCCTACCTTCATCGTTTATGCAGTCTGAACCTTACTCTTCCGGATTAACTTACCCTGAATTCTACTCAGTTCTGCCTGACAACCAGCAACCAGCAGCTGGCAGCAGGGCAGGGGACAGGGCAGCTGAGAAAGAACCTGGTTCTGTCCTGGAGTCAAGATTTCAGCAGGCAGGAAAAGGTGTGGGTGAGAGAGAGCTGCGAGAGGCTAAACTAGAACCCAAGGCCTGCAGGCTGGGCTGCAGGCTCCTCTTACCCTCACAATCTGTTTACCACTCAGCAGCTGAGGGTCCTTTTGAACTTCACAGCTTCCCCAGCCATTGCCAGTCCTCTGCTTTGGACCCTCTGATGGCTTTCAGTTATTTTCACCATAGAGTCAAACTCCTCCCATGGCCTGCCAAGCCCTCCCCACGTGACCCGTCCCCCTTTCTGACCTAGTCTCTTACCACTCGCCTCACGGTTCACAGAAGCCCCTGCCGCTCTGCTTCTCTACGTCCCTTCAGCACCCCACCCTGGCACCAGAGTGCCTGTGCGGGGCTGGCCCCGCTGCCTCCAAGGCAGATTTTCCTATCACGGGTGCTTTCCCACCAGTCAGGCCTCAGCTCAAGTGTCACATCAGAGAGGCTTTCCTGACCACCCAGCCCAGGCAACAGTCCCTGCCGAGTCACTCTAGCGCATGACCTGGTTTCTTTCATTCATCACACTGATCCAAGTCTATAATTAACCTGTTTGTTTATAAACATCGTTTATAAACATTGCCCGCCTCCACCTCCAGACACAGGCTGGGAGCAGAGGGAGCCTAGCGGCTGCCTCATGTGACACTGCCCCCCCCAGCACCTGCAGCAGGGCTTGGGTGAGCACGTGATGGACCTGGTGAAGAGTGGTGAGCGGAGGGAGCTAACTGGAAAGAGAGGAAAGGCGCAAACTGGGGTCTAGGCAGAGGTGACCCTGGAGGCAGCTGCCCCACTGCCTCAGGCCTCAGGTCAGACACCCCCCCACCCCCCACCCCCCCTGCTTAAGGGTCGCCAAGTCCGAAGACTGGGCCAATGCTTGTCCTCCAGCTGCAAGGGTCCTGCTGCTGCTGCTGGCTGAACTGTGTGTCTCAGCCTCAGCACAGTCCTCATCCGGGATGCCTGGACCCCTGGGGGGCCCAGGCAGGGGAATCTGGAGCATGCTGCTTGGAATTCTGCCCAACAACAGTCATCATTTGGGGAACGCCTTCACCGACGATGCAGTATATTAAGAACCTTGGGCTCCAGAGCCCAAATCACAGGTCCACCACTACTTGTAGATACATGACCCCCAGAGACTTCCTTGACCTCTAGGTACCTCAATTTGATAACCATAGTGCCCCCCTTCTAGAGCTGTTGAGATGAAAGCACCTCAGAGAATTCCAAAAACAAAGCATTAGCCGACTGACACAGGTCACCACATTAAGCGTGAGTATTTCTACTGAGAAGTACGCATTTAACAAGCACTTACGAGGGTTGGGAACTGTGCAAACATGTCATTAGCTCATCTGATCCCCTACAGTGACCTTGAGGGGGCCCATCACTACCAAAGTGGCCAATGGCAGAGTCACATCACAAACCTAGTTCTGCCTGACTTCCAAATTCTTTTTGACACATCTCACTGTCTCTGAAAGGCAGGGAGCTTTCCAGAGTCCCCTTACTCGCCAGGCGAGGCTGCTTGAAGCCCTCCCCCCTTTCCTGGCGCAGGGCTCTGGCAGCCCCAGTGCCTCCTCTCCGCTAGGGTCTGGCTGGCTGGCTGGAGTTCCGCCTAGGAGGCATCTCAGGCAGCCTCGCTCATTTTGTTCGCAATGCACACGATTAGGAAATGAGCCAAATTGCAGAGAGGGCATTGCCGGCCCGGTAAGGGTCGGGGGCTGCATTTATCAACAGCTTCCTTCTGCTCCAGCGCCAGCCTGGGGTCTGGAGTCACAAAGTCCTTGGAAAACCCTCCCACCCCAGGCCCCAGCCCAGTCCTGCGGGCCTGCTCGCTGCTCCTGCGCACCACCTAGAGGATATGTCAGTTACTGCACCCCCGAGCAGCTGAAACTGCTCCCTGCGGGAGGGAAAGTCAACCAATTCCCACACCTGGGTCCCAGGACCAGGAATAAAACGCTGTCTTCTTTTCCATCAGGGATGCCCTTCCTGTGCGGTTTCCTGGCGCTCCAGCCACAGTTCCCAGAGCACCACGCCCAAGCCCACTGCCCTCCTTCACATGTCCATTCCCTCTGCCTGGGCTGCCTCTCCTGGCCTGTCTACCAGGCAAGCTCCTGTTCCAGTATCTTCCAAGTTCCAGCACAAACACTCTCTCTTCATGAAGTCTCCCTTGACTTCTCAAGTCACATAGCGACTCTTCCCACATCCCCTCCTGTTCTGTATGCCTCCACATTAGTGCTTAGTGGTCAGGCTGCTTTGGGGTCCAACACCCAGCCAGGTCAACCACGACCCAGAGAGCTCACCAAGTGCAGGCTCCCATCACGCCCACCCTCACTAGTTTCAGCTTGACCTTGACAATGTTCCCAGGGATGGGAACTGGTCTCAAGAGACACCACTGAGGCACCTCAGTGAAGGAGCAATGCCTCTGATTTAGGGGTCTCTTTGGGCTCACTGTGTGGGCCCTAGAGTTTGGAGGCAACACAATGTATGGAGGTCTCTCCTCTGGCCTTCCTCAGGCCTCCTCCACTAAAGCAGAGGGGCGGCTGCCGAGCAGGACCTTTGAGAGGAGAAGCCCACCACTTCCTTTACCTCTCCATCGATGGCCTTCTTGGAGAGGAGGCGACTGAAGACCTGGAGTCCGCAGAGTCCCTCCTGAAAGAAGAGAAATTGGAGATAAGACCCCTTGTAGGCTGGTGTCAGCAGAGTGGGGAGACGGCACCCCGGAGCCTCGCCAACGAAGCGCCACAGAGCCCAGGCAGTCCAGAGACACCGGAGCCCTGGAGACAGTCTCGGCCTCCCCCGCACACACCTGGGGAGAGAAGCCGCACTGAAGTGGCAAGGAAGGAAGAAGTGGAGTACAAAATTAGCCAGACGCGTGCCGAAAGCATGCATAAAACCAATGCCTCCGAGAGAAAGACAGAAATGAATTCAGGCCAGTGCTCATGAGTACACCAGCACGGATCTGTTGGGGAGACAGATGGCATTGTCTCTTAAGAGGATTCCTGCCCCCCTTTCCAAAATGCATGTAGCTACAGTCTTTTTGTATGTATTTCTCGTTTTACTGGTTTTACTAAGTGCATCTGTCAATTGTAATCCCTGTTCTCTCTCACTTACCCAGCCCTCCTTAGGGGGCGGGCTCACCTCCCAGCAGCCAGCAAACTCACTTTTTACTGCCTGGCCACTCCCTTGTAGACTCCTCAGGAGTGTGGTTTTGTTTACTGTGCTGGACACTGTGCTGAGCCCCACCCCTTTGGGGCTCACTCACCCAGTGCCCTGGGGCTCAAGGGCCCCCTTCTGCAGCTCTCCTGAGCCTCTAACCTATGGCAGTGTCTGCCAGCAGCCCACTGGGCTGGAAGTGCTGGGGCCTTACAGCCCTCAGGGGCAGCCCTCAGCCAGACAGTGGAAACAGGCCGATACATAGCTGGGCCTCCTCAGTCTCAAGTGAATCACCTGAGGTGTGGCTTCTGCCGCAGCCCAGAGTTGCCCACAGGGGCGTCTCCTGCCCCCAGGTGTAACCTATTTGCTAACACGTGGGTTGCTTCCTTCCTGAGCTCACTTCTCAAACCTCACTCTACATTTCCTGCAGCCGCCTCTCAAATAAGACATCTTGACCTTGAATCCATATCTTAGGTCTGCTTCTGGAAACCCAATCTTACATTCACTGCCATCCCAAGCAAATATGTAACACCAAGCCCATAGATGCTCTATAAATATTTGTTGGCAAATGCTAGGATGAAATATAACATATAAAGACTAAAATAGAAAAATTATTTTTTATACTTCTATAGTTTTTAAAACTGTATTTTTTTATTTTTATAAATTAAAAACCACAGAAATATAAAAGTTAAAGGAGTGAGAAAAGGGGGCCCACCCTGGTGGTACAGCAGGTTGGAGTGTTGCACTGCAAAGATAAGCCAGGCTTTGGCGTGAGTTCGATTCCCAACCCCTGAGGTGACCCACATGGCACGGCAGACCTCTCCTGTCCCGCCCACTGCTCCCCTCAGCAGTGCACTTTGCCCATCTGCCTGTTTTGCTCCCCACTGTTTCTAATGAATCCTCTTGCCACCCTGTACCCCACTTCTTTTTCTTTTAAAAAAAGTTTTTATTTATTTATGCATACAGAAATGGGGTATAGGCCAGAGGTGCAGGGCTGGTGAGAGGATTCCCCAGAGACAGAGTGGGGAACACAGTAAGCAGATCGACAAAGTACACTGCTGAGGGGAGCAGTGGTGAGACAGGAGAGGTCTGACGTGGGTCACCTGGGGACAGGGATCAAACTAGTATGAAAACAGCCATGGCTTGGCTTATCTAAGCAGTGCAGTGCTCCAACCCACTGTGCCACCAGGGAGGGCCCTGTGGGACCCCATTTCTGCATGCATAAGTAAATAAATTCTTTTTTTTTAAAAGATTTATTTATTTATTTATACAGAACTGGGGTACAGGCCTGAGATGCGGAGGCTGAGAGCATTCACCAGAGACAGAGTGGGGAGCAGAACAGGCAGATCGAGAAGTACACTGCTGAGCGGAGCAGCGGGCGGGTCAGGAGAGGTCTGCTGTGCCATGTATTTCCTCCGGGGCAGGCGGGGATGGAACTCATGCGGAAGTGGCTTTAGCTTCTTAGTGCAGTGCTTTAACCCGCTGAGCCACCAGGGAGGGCCCGTAAATAAATTCTTTTTAAAAAAAGTGGGAAAAGGAATCTCTCCAGACACAACAACTATGAAGTTTAATGCCTCTGCTGAAGCACTGCTGCTTGGTCTGACTTCCAGGCAGTACAGTTCAACATGCAAAACCCTTAATACCATAGACTGGTTGGGAAGCTTCTCTTTAATGTGATCACATATATATGTATATATGTGTGTATATATATATAATATACACACGTGTGTATGTATATATATGTATGTGTGTGTGCATATGTATGTATATATAAGTAATTTTTTAAAATTTCACAATTAGAAAAAGTTTTAGATAAAGATGTTAGAGAAATTTGTAAAAAAAAGAAAAAATCCAACCAACCCTGTCAACCTTGCCACACAGGGAAAAATCACGCTCCTGGAGACTGCCATCTCAGAGCGTCTTTCTTGTCTCTTTCCTGTCGTGTACATAAAATACACTCATGGGATTTCAGTAAACAGCCTCGTCCTCTGTATCTGACCTAGTAGGTAGCTTTTCTCGCCACTCAGGTAACATTTTCTGATGTCATTCAACACTCTTGATGGGGAGGGCCCCTCCTGGGGACCTTACTGGTATTTTAAGACCTTACAGGGTCCTTCATTTTTGGTTGTAAAAAATAATCAGAGGCTGCCACTGGTCCTGCAGAGCACAGAGTCACCCTAAGCCAAGATGGGGGCAGTAAGGCGCAGCTGGGGCCCCTCCCTTGAAGACAGTCGCTCTCCTCACAGTGGGTTTCCTGAGGCATTTTCTGCAGAACACAAGCTTTATAGAGCTATACAGTAATTTCTAAGAGGTTCAGAGGAAAAAAACGTTTCAGAAAAGCAAGCTGGAAAATGTTATGCATAGAACACCATTCTGATGCTTTTATCTTATTAATTCCTTAAATGAATTACTCTGGGTGAATACTGGATGAAAAATCTGTATGATGAAAATGCTGATGTCATGGATAGTATTATCCATTTGCTCTACTTCTGCTCTGGACCAAGAGATCTCCCCCTTCCAACCCCCTTCCAAGAAACTGAGGGCTCTGTCTAGCCACATAGGGAGGAAGTAGCCACTTAGCTATACATCCACAGAAACTTGGGGGACCCTGGCTGAGACAGGGAGGGGAACGAACAACTGTTTGTCCAACTGTTCAGAGCTGAGATGAACAACTGTTCTGTCTTTCTCAGCAGAGGCCTGTAAGTCTGACAAAGATCTGGAGTCCACACTCATATAATGGCTGTGTGATCTTGAGAAGGCCCCTGCCTCTCCCCGCCTCCCAATCTTCAGCTTTCTCATCTCTCAAGGTGAATACATGGATGTTGGGTAAAGAGCTAAGAAAGCATCTTCCTCTCCATGGACATTACATTCCCAGCCCCACTCCCTGGCTTTCATAGGAAGGTAGAAGGTGCCAGCCGAGTTCCAAGGCAACACGGAGACAGATGCTGCCCGGTCCACCGTCAAGGGACAGGGCTGTGAGTGGACGGTAAAGGGTTAGTGGACAGCTACCCCCAGTGCAGCGACTCTTGCGGCTGGCGGTGCCCTGGCTGGGGTCTTGGCACTCCACGGTGGGATGGTTAGGAGTTTTGGGACACAGCTTCTAGGTCAGGGGGTCTTACCCACTGAGGTCTCATGTTCCTGCACCTGGGCTGTCACCTGGGCAGGCCAGAGAAAGCTCTGGATGCTGGGTGGTCCCCCATGGGAACACTTGCAAATGAGAACTGTCTGGGGCTGACTCTGGCTCATCCTCCAGGGCCAGGGGTGGGGATGCCAGTGGGGGTGGGGAGGGAGGTGTCTTAGTGGGGTCCTGTAAGTCTGTGTGGGGTCCTGTGGAATGGTGGAGCCCAAGAAGCCTCCTAGGAGGCACTGCAGGCAATGCCACTAACAATGGCCCCCTTCCAGGCTGTGAGGATTGAATGAAGTCTATCAGCCAGGGCCTGCAGCCTGCCTCGCCACCCCTCCTCGCCAAATACCTCTCCTTGGGCTCTTCCCCTCGCTTTTTTGTTGGTGGGGAAAGGCCTGCTTCTGGCTTCCAATCTGGACAGTCCAGTCCTTTTTCCTTCTTCTTTGCTTTTTCTTTTTCCTCTCCTTTTTCTCCTTTGGGGGGCCCAGGTGAGTCTGAAAACGAATGAATAATATTGTTCCTTTGTGACTTTGGGGAGGAAGGAGCGAAGGGCAGGGACAGGGACACATCCCTCTCTCACACACACACGCACAGAGCCATGCACGTGTGTGCAAATTCATGTGCACTCATGGGGGCTTTTGTACACACACCCAGGCACACGTTCATATACACGTGTGCACACAGACATGAGCTTTGTGTACAAACACATGCGCACAGAGTCTGCATCCATTAGCCATGTACATGTACACTCGCAGCGCTACAAATCGTGCACTGTGTACACAATCACTGGCACTCCCCAGGGGCCATCTGTCACTTATTAAGTCACTCAACAAACAGACCCTGAGCGTGCGCATGACCCAGGCATGGTCCCCGCCCAGGTGCTGGGAGAAAAACATGGCCCAAGTCGACCTTGTTTCTTCTCACCCAATAGCCGCTTCCAGTTTTTGATGAGAACTTTGGCCAAGGACACCACCTCCTTGTCTGAGCAGTGCTTGCGGACCCCATTGACGGCGACACCAATCCTGGTGGTCTGCAAAACAAGAGGGTTAGCGGCTGGTCTGGGAGTGCAGGACCCTGCCCTCAATTACCTCTCCCCCCACAGCTCCGCCCTCTCCTGAGCTCGACCTGGCCTGAGGCTGAGGCCGAGGCCCTGACCCTCTGCAACTAGTGAGGTCCAGAGCCCGGGAGCTGGCCACCCACTGGGCGTCCAAGTGCTTCTGCTGGGAAGATGAGGTGGTGACAGGTATGGCTGGTGCTCAGGGCCCTCCCCGCTGTTTGCCCCCAGGTGACTCAAGCGCCAGCTTAATTTCAGAGCGCTGGCTACTCAGTTTGGGTCTGAGCTCATTTTTCAGAGTTTTCTGGGAATGTCTGGGGCTACACGGGCCACCCAGGGGTGATAGAAAAATGCAGGACTTTCTGCTGTCACTGGTCTCTTAGATCCCATAGGCCCAGGACTTTAAGAAGTGGGGTGTCCAAGGAAAGCAAGGCAGGCTTTTCCCCAGGCCCTGTCTAGCTGCCTCAGGCCGGCTCCCAAGCCCTCCCTGTCCTCCCCCACCCTCCTGCCCCCTTCCCCACACTGCGCCTGGGCTCCCCACCCTGCTCCACCTGGAGTAGCTGGATGGACATCTGACAGCTGTTCAGCTTCTTCAGAAGATCCAGGGCCCCTTCCTGTAGGAGGCCACAAGGTCAGAACTGAGACCCAGGGGTTCTACCCAGCCCACTGTATTCTTAGTAAAAAAGGTAGGGAGGGCGTGATCCAGTTCTGGGGCACAGGCAGAGAAGCAGTTGAGGCGTGGGCAAGGGACAGAAAGGGGAGACGAGGAAAAGATGCTGCCACAGTCCAGCCCTCTCACTTCAAGCCCCTCTGAGCTGAGTCCAGTCCTCACCACTCCCCGGAACCCCGGCCATTGGTCCTGCTGCTCCTTGCACCAGCATGCTGCCCCCAACTCTGCTTCCAAAGTGATTTCCTCCTTGCTTAGTGCTCCTGCTTGGGTGTCTGTATCCCCCTCCTTTCGCTTCCCAACTGTGAGCTTCTGCAGAGTAAGGATTGTTGGCTTTTTTTTTTTTTTTTAATATTTTACAACAGTTTGTTGGCTTTTTTTTTAATGGCTTTATTGGACACACAATGAACACATAAGCTACAATTTGATGGTTTCTGAAACCCATATGCACACATGGGTACACATACCACCAGCCCAATGCAGTAAGAACACAAACTTCGCCCCCAAAGTCTCCCTTGTGCCCTCTGTCCCCTAGGCTGCACCCCCACCTAAGCCCAGGTACCACTACGTTGCTCTGTCACTACCGAAGAGTTTGCATCTTACAGGATCATGCACCGAGGGCGGCACCACGGCTTTGGGTCTGGCTTCTCCTTCAGCATCACTGCTTTAGAGCCACTCGTGTCACTGACAGGCCCGTGGCTCCTTCTCGCGCCCAGGGTCCCCTCCGTGTGCAGACACCACAAGCGTTTACCCATTCTCCTGCTGACAGGACTTTCAGGGAGTGTGCCGTTCGGGGCTCCCACAAATAAAACTAAGCACCTCAGGTACAAGCCGTGGCGTGGCCCTGCTTCCCTTGGGTAAATGGGCTTCCATTCCTCCTGGGCAGAGGCAGTTTTAGCCTTGGAGACCTCGGGGCTTAGCACACAGCCCACCATGCTGTCCTGAGTGGAGGGAGAGCAGAAAGCAGAAGACAGGAGGGGACAGTGGGCGGGGAAAGGGGCACCCAGGTTTTTTTTTTTTTTTTAAGATTTATTTATTCATACAGAGCTGGGGTACAGGCCAGAGATGCAGAAGGTGAGAGGATTCACCAGGGACAGAGTGGGGAGCAGAACAGGCAGATCGAAGTACACTGCTGAGAGGAGCAGCGGGCGGGTCAGGAGAGATCTGCCTCGCCCTGTGGATCTCCTGCAGGACAGGCGGGGATCAAACTCATGAGGAAGCGGCTTAATCTTCTTAGTGCAGGGCTTTAACCCGCTGCACCACTAGGGAGGGCCATGGGGCACCCAGGTTTTAAAGTTTCCGGCTGCCAGGCACTGGGCCACCACTGACCCACATCAGCCTCCTCCTCCTGACGCTTTGCTGAGGCCGAGGCCAGCATGGCCTCCTCTGCAGCTTCCCTGGGGAGCACCCGCTGACTGTCCTGAGTGCCCTGTGCCTGGCTTCACTGCCAGCCAGGGCCCTGCAGACTTCCTGGGCCACTGCCCAAGGCTCCAGGCCTCCCTGTGCCCGGGTTCCCAGCGCACTTTCCGACAAGTGAGCTGTGGATGTACGTGCATGTCCACTTGTGGGCACACAGCTCCGCTGGGGCCACTGATTAGAGGACCATGCGGTATTTTACTTGCGTTACCTTGTTCAACTCTCACAGTCATCCTAGCAGATAGGTGCTATTATTGCCCCCCCCATTTTATTTATTTCGTTTTTTACAGAATTACCACCCTATTTTCATGGAAGAGGCACAATTTGCTCAGAGTCACGAGTTGCTGAGCTGGGGCTCAAGCACATGCCTTTCGGGCTGCGGCACGGGCAGGCCGCGGAGGTGTGCACACAGATCTGTCCAGACATTGGCAGACAGGTGCCAGCGTGGGGCGCCCCAAGGCATGTTGGTCGGTGTTTGACAACCAGTTTTCAAGGGGGAAGAAGCTGATTTGTAGTGTTGGCTAGTTCCTGTGAAGTAAATACCCCTTCCATGGATTATTCTGAGCACAAACTGCCCACATGGTGTCCCTGAGCAAAGGTGGTGTTGAACACAGAGATACAGCACCGTGACAGCCTCTGGGACTAGTCACGGGAGTCACTGGTCTCGAGACCACTGGGAATAGTCAAGTGTAGCAAAGTGACTAGGAAGGGGTGATCTCAGGGTATTTCTTGCTTTTGTTTTCGATATGACTTGTTTAACTGGAAGCATGTAATTTAAATTTTAAAACAAAGCCTGTATATTACAACTGGCTTGCAAAATTCCTAAACATCCAAGGGCTAACTAAGTAAGCTCCAGCTCAGCCCGGGGCATGTGTCTCTGTGTGTAATGCTGCGCGACCAGGCCATGCTGGAGGGGGGCCATGAACCCCGGCTGCACCTGGACTCATAACACCTGCAGATGTTGCCAGGTGTCTCCCTCTGCACAGCTGGGCATGTGGCTGGCAGGAGCTCTGGTCCAGGTGTGGAGCTGTGTGGACGCAGCGCTGAGCACTGTGTCTCTGCGTGAGGATGCCTTTGTCAGCATGGTGCTTGCACTGTCTGCAGCCTGCCATGTCTCTACTATGTGCTGTGTGCACGCATGTGTACAGTTGCCGTGTGCTTATCTTTCTAGAAATAGGAGCTCAGAGCCAGTTTTCTGGGGGTTAGACTGTCACGTCCATGTCAGAAGCCACTTCTCTTGTGCAGTAATGTTTGCAGCTGCCGGTTTTACTATTGTGCATGGCCGCGTGCCTGCAGCTATATTTATTGCACATAATTATTACGTGTATATGTAGCCACTACTGCTGGTCTTTGGCTGGATGTCTGACGTTGTTTCAGCGGGTGCACACTCACAGCATCTAGCCAAAGCCCCAAGTCGCTGGGACTTCAGCGACTGGCAACAACCCCAGGACCTGAGTTGCAACGTGGAGGATCCGTCTTATTACAGGAAGTTTGTCCTCCTTTCCCCAATCACTGCTGGGCGGGCCTACTTTCAGTCCTGGAGCAGCCCCACCTTTCTCGGCCACATGCCCAGACCTCTGTGCCCACCCTGATGTTGCCAAGAGCCCAGGCGTGGACGTGGCCACAGACTGGCTGTGCGCTGCAGGGACTTAGTGCCAGACTTGAGCCTCAGCCCAGGGCACCATTTCTTTCTCCCATTTCACAGAAGAGGAAACAGAGGCCCAGACAGGGAAGCAGAGTGGTGGGTCTAGCGCTACAAAAGGAGTGAGGGGGCCAGGGCAGCCCCTCCCTTCCTTCCCTGACTCCCGGACCTTGCAGAGAGCTCCCTCTAACCAAGCTGCTTTCCCTATTCCTCTCCTCCCAGCCCCCAAAGTTCCAGGCAAGGGCAGGTGGGGATAACCTGTCACCCTGACATGGAATAGAGTCCAGGAGACATATGCTGGGCTCTACCATCCCTGGCTGGGAAAGCATCCTGAGGCGTCACTGATTTTGGAGGAGTCTGGAATGGGGTCGGGAGAGGTAGAGTTTGTAAGTGGGGGGTAGGGGGGATGGGAGGTCCCAGAACTTTGCAGGTCTGAGTCTCTCTCACCGAAACCCAGTCCCAGTCCTGCCAAAGGTCTTGCGTCTATCCTGTCTCCTCCCTCCTACACTCAAGGCAACAGTCAGTCCAGTGATGGCAGATCATCTCCTCCTACAGGCAAGAAGCAGACTCTGGCCTTTATAGTGACCCACTTACTCTCACCCACTGTGTTCTCTGGGGATCCTGGGCCAGGGATCCAGGGGTCTCTTCTGTGTTCTAAAACCTCCCATAGGTCCATCCCTTTTTCAAGAACCTAAGGTCACAGAATGTTCTGGAAAAGCAGGCCCTGCTCTAGCACATGCCTGGGGAAGGCAGGAAAGACCCTGGAAGGAGGCCTGAGGGGTGAGCCTACCCTCTCTCCCCTCTCAGGCAGAGCCCGGGCCCTCCTGGACCCAAGGCCAAGTTTGTTTGGCTTGGTGACCTGCTGGCCGCCAGGCTGAGGCAAAGCTCGCCCCAGGGATCAAACATTAACTTCAAGTCGGCCTGTGCTCCCGCCGCCTGGCGTTGGGCGCCCGGAGACCCGACTCCCCGACCTTCTAGTCCTGCCCCCTCGGCCCCCCAGGCGGGCCTCTGACCCCCGCCCTGCGGCCGGCCCTCGGGCGCAACGGCTGCCCGCACCTGTCTGGCCCCCGCCGCCCGCCGGCCCCAACGCCGCCAAGGAAAGGGAATGTCGCTCAAGGAACCGCCGCGGGCGCCCGAGCTGAGGGGTGCGCGGCCGTTGGCCGCTCTCCCGGGTCCACTCCGTTCACGCCCGGCCGCGGCCGAGGCGCGGCTCGCACCCCACGAGGGCTCGGGTTTCTCTGCCCTCCGGGCCACCTGGGCTCGCCCGGCCCCTCAGGCCACCCGCCGTAGCCGCCGAGGCCGAGAGCGCGGCCTCGGAAAGTTCTGCTCCCGGCCCAGGTCTCCTCACTCGCCTTCCCGGCCCTGCACAAGTCAGCGGGGCGCCCGAACCCCAAGTCCAGAGACGACGTGCGCAAGCCTCACCCCCGGGGGCCGGCGGTGCTCCCCGGCCCCGGCCTGCGC